TAAATATAATATATTGCTTTCTAAATATATTTTAATAAATATATCTGTATCATATTACAATAAATCATATGTGGCTGACTTTGATACATATGTTGTGGATCTATATTGGAAGTGTTGTCAATACATTGCTAAATGCTAAACATTAAGCATTGTAACAAGAAGTATCCTTTTATTTATACTGTATTGGTTAGCGTAAGCTGATTAATCTCAATCAACAATTATATAACATATAAAATATAAAATAGAATATAGAACACATATTCTAAAGATTGTTAGCATATATATATATATATATATATTGTTTGTTATATTTGCATGTCAGTATATTTTGTGTGATGAGATCAATTGTAGTATTATTTATCATGTGAACTAATGTTATGTAATGTTAGTATGTATGTTGTATTTGTAATATAAATATATGCCTTGCTTAGTAATGTGTTAACTAAATATAATCATCATACTAAATGTTGGGATGAGAAATAAGGTGTTGCACCAAATCACTTTCGAACACCTATTCAAATGGGCCAACTCCCGAAGATTTATATCACAATTATAACACCCTACCGCCAACTGAATGTATGCAGAAAATACAAAACAGTAAATGAGACAAGAGTTTGTTTACCCGGTTCGAATATAAACAATCCTACATTCGGGGATACCAATCTAAAAGAAGTTCACTAATCAGTGTTGATTAAGAACATAGACAACCACAACTCCTTCAACTCATCCTCGTAACATGGTTTATCTTGGAAATTCCCTCAACAGACTTATGTTGTCACAAACTCGTGCTGACAACGACCACGGAGCAGAGTTGCTCATAATATGGACGCTTTCCCTGATCGAAAATCCGATTTCTCCTTTCTCCGATGAGGTCTCCGGAAGGTAAAAGTGTCTGACACTCACTCAATATATAGAGAAAAGAAGGGTTGGAGTTGAGAGGATTTAACTCACTTTTTCTCTCACTACACACACTCTCAAAACCTTCCAACAATCACACTCTCTCCTCACAATTATTATAAAGCCATCTTAAAACTCTTTGCACATAAATGGAATGATGTGTTCTGCATGAAATCTGTAACATGTTGACCACCCAAAACATCCATTCATTTTTCTTGTATGCTCACCAACCGAGAGAGTGTAAGACAAGCAATGTTGTTAACAGTCTGTTGCAGCAATCAGACAAGACTACTTACTCCAAATGAAAATCTGAATGCAGCAGGAAAGATAAAGTGACCATATGCCAAAATAGATGGAAGAAATTATTTTCCAACAGTAAACAATATATATATACACACTCACTCACGCTTAATTAGGAGTTTTATACACAATCTAGTGTTCATTGTTATTTACTCGAATTGGACCGTGGAGTGCATCAAATTCATAATGGAATTATTTACAAATATATATATATATATCCAAAATGATAATAACAGATAACCACATAATATAAAGATAAATGAACACACAAACTAGTTCCGAAGTTGGACTTGTGACCGTGAGGTCATGGGTTTAAACCTCTGACGCCTCAGGTCATCTGACACACATGGTTCGCCTAGTGTAACTTTTTCGTCGAGTCTGATTTGCAGGATATTAGGTTCGACCGAAGATTTATCCAGTGCGCACTTGCGGGTTCCCACGTCATCCGAAATGAACACACACACTACTAATAATCCAACTTTATTCAAATTGTGACTTATAATGTGACAAGTGCACAACACCAACGACAAACATTCATTGTGACTAGCTAATCTATCACCGATGTTTGAGTGATATCTAAAATATATATGTCTATGACATGAATGACTTGTGATAAATTCCTTTCCACTGTCTGTAATAATCATCACATTGTCCAAATCCAATTAAGTAGAGTCCCATCACAACTTCTCTTCCAAGTGTATGCTATACAAATTAACTTTCCAAAAACACATGAGAATAGAAAAACGTGTAATATTTATGATATGGGCTAAATTTGGAGGGGAAATAATTAATTAATTACACCAACACGTGAATTTTGGGCCGTTGGATCTTGAAATGGGCTTACAGCCCAATCCAGTTCCTCCTCCATTAATTAGGTTAACCATGAAATCCACTAGGGTTTTGAAACAGCAAGAAGAGAAGAGAAGAGTAGTGTTTTGGGCTCGAAATTCCTGGGAAATTAGGGATTGACGTGGGTTTTCTGAACAAAATATGATCAATCAACAATTGCATCGCCATTTGCCAATAGCCAGTAAATAATTGTATCTCAGGTCAGGTCAGGTCAGTTCAGGTAAGATCAGGTAAGGCAAGGTAAGTCGTACGAAGAAGACAAATCACTGTGCATTATTATAACGCACGACAACTTATCCTTCTCTGTCACTGTACTATTTACTCTTTGTCTCTATATAATGTATATATGTATATGCGTAGAATTCACGTCTGACCGATCACTCACCCGCACTTGCCGACTCATCAAAACCTAGTTTAGCTCTATTCAACTTAATTACAACAATACAATCCACAATTTGCAGCAGCAGCAGCAGCAGAAAGAAGAAGAATATATACGCAGACGTGGAGCTAGGCGATGGAATCAAAATGGATTGGAACTGGAGAGACGTAAAGAAATTAGGAGGAGATGGAGGAATGAGTGGGAGTGTTGCACGGCCTTTGATGGGATGGGATGGGATGGGTGGGTTGCCCCCACTGATGGCTGGCTCTTTACTCGACCAATGTTAATTGGGATGCCATATCCATAGGGACCACCCCACCCCACCCTCACCCCACCCCTCCTTCCTATAAGAACCCACTCCCTTCATCTCATTAATTCCTCGCTCATTCACAAATCACAACCCACATATATCTATCCATCAACCCAAATTTGAACCGTGTAATTAGTCAGTAGCAAGATCTAATGAAGAAGATGAGTGGTAACAGCAGCAGCAGCAGCAGCAGCAGCAAGAGAAGGATTTCGAGCAGAGGGTTTGCAGCAGTGCTGAGGGAGCAAAGGGCGAGGCTCTACATTATTCGCAGATGCGTCGTTATGCTTCTGTGTTATCACGATTAATTGCAGTCAAGCAGTCACCATGCTAATTACTTAATTTACACACAACTTTAACTGTAATGAATAATTGGCCATTAATTTTCTTTAGTTTGCTGTCCCTTTCTTGGGTATATTCTCTCTCGAGTTGTAAATATGTAGTTTAGGTACGCAGATGTTTGGCAGAAGATAGTTAGGTAGTTCAGTTAGACTCGACAATTTTGTACTCTGATTCTCCTCCCTCATCTCATGAACTGGGAGGAGAAGCTTCAACCTTGAATACACTAGTAGTTAAATTTAATATATATATTCTCTATCTGAACTTCCATTCCATTCTTATTGATTGTTAAGCCTGAAAGAAATGGCCATAGCCATACACACTTATGCTCTAATCCTATACCTTCTGCTGAAGCTCAATCTGTGTTGATTTGCTGACAACCTAGTTTTCTGTTCTCTCTATTAACTGATAAGTTCATATAATTCATCAGTGAATGATTCATGTTTCTCCCATTTCCTTAAAAAAAAAAAAAAAATTTAGAAGTTCAGAAGTTCTTATTATCTGTCATTACTTCATTGAGGGTAATGAGAAGAGCAGAAATCTTTAAAAGGCAATATTCAACGATAATTACATATAAACCTGATGGTGTATGAATCTCATGCATGAAAATGGGTAGCTAATAATGATAGAGGGCTGTTAAAGGGCATCCCCAAAAAGCGCGCAACCTAATTTTATTTCAACACAATAAAAAGACTAGCATTAATCAGAATTACCTTATTTGATGGAAACATATATAATTAATCCATTGAGAGGATTAATTATATGACTATGCTTAGTTTCAACTTCCAGCGAGCGAGTGAATACAAACACGCTAAAATTGGAAGCATGTGAACGATACTACACACGCACATGTTTTGTCAAGACATATGGACTCGTTTTGTGGGCCTAGTCAACCAAACATATCTGAGTGTGATAAACAGGTACTTCTTCACACTACACAGTAAAAGATCTCTTGTCATTTTCACACAAGTTAAAAGCCATTTCGATGGAAAGGTGTGCGCGAATGTATGTTTGTATACGTGTGCAAGAATGGGAGGGAGGAGGAGTAACTTACAGCTGGTTCTTTGAATCCAAGTGAAAAAATATATATATATATAAATAAATAAATAAGAGGGGTAGTGGGGGTGTACGATTGCACATACAAGCAATGATCCAAGAAAAAATGGTGTTGTCGGCCACATAATATTTAGCCATATGTATAGATTTTAGGGTCTAAACTCCTACTACAAAATAAGCCAAAACTGGGAAAAGACATACTGCGTTGTTGGGTCAATTCAAAGGGAGCGTGGCAGCCTTATCTATTCTCTCCCCCACCCCACCCCTCCCCACCGCACGTGCACCTCCAACCCCACCATTATTCATTCATCTCTTCCTATATTGTTTACCTACCAGACAATTCTTGCATTCTGGCCCTATCCATCATCATTGTCTGATTGATGATTGTAACCAAGTTCCATTCATTCATACATTCATTCAATCCACTTCCATTGCTTGACCATCGCCAGTCTCTTGAGTTGCTTTTACAGTTTTAACGATGTTCTTGCATAAGGCTGAACTGATTAATATAATGTGCGTGATTCAGTCCCAGGTTGTCATGGCCCCTTAGCTTCTCTTCCCTTTGTTGTCGTGTTCACATCCTTGGATCAATTATCATAACGACAAAATGGAGCTAGGAAAGCGACGCATCCAGCAGCCCTCGTGATGACCTTACGACACGCACAAGATGGCCCCATGCATTGCCCTTTTCCTACCTAGGGTTTCTCTGGCTTTCATATTCTTCAGTTTCAGGTGTTCAAGCTCTTACACTACCAGTGTTCGTGTATTCGGGCACCTCCCAGTTGTGCAATTTTGTCCTTTTTCTGTTGCGGACAACACGCCGAGCAGATGGATCGATCGATGGATCCTGCTGTCAAGAACCAAGGCCTGATGTAATAATTGAATCATTTTTTTGCTTGAAATAAAACATAATTTACAAAGGTAGCAACAGCCAAAATATCAAGCACGAGTTCATTTAGGAGCCAGTAAGAACATCAGATCATCAAAACATAAAGTTACTGATCCCCCTAAATTTCCAAAAAGCTGATTATCAGTTTCATCAGCAAGAAATGCATTGATTTCACTCCAACACAAAACATCATTGAAGCCAGCCAAGAATTACTATACTCGGACTTGCTATTGATATGTTGAACAGATCAGAATTTGTCGAGCTCTTTTCCTCCTCTCATGCTTCCACCCCATGCAATGAAACTGTCCTGTGATTCAAACTCCTGCAAAACCATTTATGACATCATAATTTAGTCGAATTTAAGCAAGGAAACTACAAGGAAAGCTGAATACAGGCTTACAATCTGGCTTAGCCGAAAATCTGGAGGTGTGTCGAGCTCAATATTTACTGGATCAGAAACCAAACTTTGGCACTCCTCCAAATCCCTCTTCAAATCCTCTGGTCCCAACTGAGCATAGTCAGAGAGGCGAGGCTTATCACTCGGTTTTCTACCAATTCCAGTTTCATCATCCCTATTTGGCGACTGACTTTGCAGAAGCTCGTCGCAGATGGACAACCCTTCAACAAGCTGCTGCGAGCTAAGCAAAAACTGCGACTCATTCTCCCACCATTTGTTGTCGTCAGCAGCCTCATCATTGTTCTCACCTTCCATTTGATCGGAAGGATTATTCTCATCAGTACAGCGATTTTGATGATCATTCAACTGACAAGTTGCTTCCACCATAGCTGTTTCCACCATATCTTCCATGCAAGTTTCATTCTGATGTGGAATAAGGTGTAAGCTCGTGCTCGGACAAGTAATTAGCAAAGCATTCTCATCCAATGGAAAAGTCGGACTGACCCTTACGACTGGAGCTGGAGACTCATGTCTGGCCTCATCATTGGAAAATCTTGTTTCAGGGCGAGGAGGTTCAGGAGTTACAGATTTAGGAGTGACAGGATCCACCTTTACAATCATGGCATCGCTGCTTTCAGGGACATCCTCGTCGCCTTTCTCAGTCTGCTTGACTTGTTGCTGCTGATAAAACACTTTCGAAACTACATATTCTCCTTCTTTCTCATCTTCTCCGGTGCCCAAATGGTACTGATGCATTACCCAAAGAGTCTTCTCAGCTTTTCCTCCTCGAACAGGGCTTATATACAAAACCATAATCTTCTTGCATCCTTTTTGTATGCCGTCCAAGAACACAGGCTTTGTCCTGCCAGTCTTATGCCAACGAACATCCCCCAAAACATCGCCATGTATCTTCCTACGTTTCCGGGTTCCAGTATTGTAAGCCTTGATTGCTCGATGGAAGAAGTGTGATACACTTCCATCTTGCTTCACACCTGAAAATACAAGCAGTTATTCATCCTATTCAATTGGGAATACAGAATTTCTTACTAAACAATCTCGGAAGCATAAGATCATTTTTTAGTCGTACCAGGCAAATTTTGTGGGTGAGTGTAACAGATACCATCATCTTCATCAACAGTAGGAATGAACTCATCTATGAAAGGATGGGACTTCAAATCTTCATAACCAACTTTAGCAAGCAAGTGCCAGATAATCTCTTGGTCAGAAGGGTCGAATTTCACGCCACGAGGCAACCCAGGCCACGCATCAGCAACCTGAAAATGATAATAGATTCAAAGCTGCTCTAATGACCAGAACTGTTACAGGTTTCAATAAAATCGTGTACAAGAGGCAAATAGCCATATAGATCGATCGAACAAGAACTAAAAGCATAAATAGCACATTGAGCATAGGAAGTAGCAATATCATACATCACTGTTATCAATAACATGTTGGCAATTAGGACAAGATTTCGTTGGATTGCTTGTCCAGCTGATCTTTTCTGGTTGGCATGCACCTGAGGCGCTCCGGATTTTTGTCGCAATTCTGGTGGGATCAACCAACCATGATGTCCTGAATGTTTCCACAAAAAATTAATCAAGCACTCCAAGCAAGCAACATGTTGTCAAATCGACAATCAGAGGAAAAATTAGATGAATTCAACTAACAGATCGTGAGGACATTTACAAAAAAATATTCATCAATAATGCATCTTCCTATGATAGTTCATGGATCAGATAAAATATCTTAACATGAAACACTATGGAAAACCCTATGAATCACTTTAAGATGATTGCAAAAGCTTCAAAAGATCAAAATAACGCAAGTTGATAATGTGGTACAAAATTAACCTGATTGCCCATAAACATTTAATCTGCAAAGCTATAGAAATTGTAATTTCACTACACCATATAGCATATAATAAATCTTACTCCAGTTTAACTACATTATTATCTGACTATAAGCCCCAAAACAGAGACACTAAAAGAAACCACCCAACATGAAAATTTGAATATTTTACATCTTGAACGAATCAATCAAAGCTCAGAACAAGAATTCACAAAAACTAAAGAAGAAGAATCAACAGCAAAGTGGCTCCTCCTGTATAAAGCATAACAAATCTTTTCGATCTCTAAAATCAAAAGAACTCAAGTCACCATTTCGAGTCAAGATTAAACTATTCATCGCAAAGATAAAAACTTAGTAACTATATGACAACCCAAGTTGGAACATTCTGTAACCCACTGCTTAATAGAACGATCCCGTGTCGTGGGTTGACCACCAAGATTCAAAAACAGACAAAGGTTAAGCATCAATCCCTTCTTAATCATACTAAAGCACAGCAAAATAGCAAATCAAGACAGCGAAAAAAAATAAAAAATAAAATTATTACATAGCACATAACTCGTGCGGGGATACAGAATCGAAAAGGAAACTAATGGTATTACCCCGCCATGGCAGAATGATGCAAGAATCCAATGTTCTTCCCTCTCTTCCAGTATCCAAGAGACTACTCCGCATCTAAGGTCTACCCGCTTCAGTCCTTGAATTTATCAGAACCGTGTCAAAGCCTTTTCCCTTCCTTTCCTTTTAAGATTTTTTTTTTTTTTCCAAAATTTTATTATTTATTCAATTTTTTATTGGGGGTTTGAAATTTCTTTAGGCCGAGTACAAAGTAATTCCACTCTCAGTGTCTCTGGGGTCGTGTCAAGCGGCTTCCCTTTCCCCATTTCTATTTAATGCTGATTAAAGGACAGTGTCAATTCCACTCGATGTCGGTTTCGAAATTCGAAAACATGGCAGCACTATTTCTGTTGATTACTTGATTATATAAGTACACAGATGAATAACTCGGTTTAGAAGAAAGAAATTTTGAAATTTTAAAGTTTTAAAAAATCTAAAAAAAATTGTACTATATTTTATTTGTTAATAAAAATATATAATAAATTTTAATATATTTATAATTTAAATTTAAATTAATGATATTTTAGTATTAATATTAAATTATTTTTAAATAAGACTGACAAAATAGTTAAATATAAACTTTGAATTATAACGGAAGAAATAAAAAAATTAATTTTAATGTGACAGCAACGATCGTTTAATCCAGTTATTTCTTGTTTATTAAAATTTAATTTAAAAAAATATAATTATCTTTTCACGCGAGCAATATATTTATATTTAACTTTGAATAATTAAATATTTTACTTGAAAATTACACCCATTTCTGGGCGAATGGTAAGGCAGGTGCAGAGGTTTATAGCAACAGATATTAAAATGGCTGAGCTAAAAGATTGCGTCGTACTCTGTCCGCCAAACTCTACGCATCATGCTTCATTTGATATTCCCGGCCGGGATATGTAATCTACTCAGGGTTTGTTTTTTTCGTATATACAATTCCCCAAAACATTAATATACCAAAACAAACACACCCTCAATCCTCCCTAAGATAAAATGTGACTTGCTTTCAAGAACTTAATTTGCAGTGCATCAATGACACCCATCTTTATCTTGCCAAATACAGTCAGGACTCGCAATGATGATTATATATATGTCTAATAACAGTGCATATGCTGAGATTTGGTTAAAAGAGTCGATCAATTCATCATTGTGAGCAAATACAGAATAATCAATGTGTAGGTTGAGGAACACCAGCAGCAGCCAGCAGGTGTTTGTTTAGACATACATAAGTAAGCTGTAATGTTCAAACAATGATGCAGAGCCACCCATACATATATCCTTCCAATCAACTATTCACAGCTTTCTTTACCCTAAGGGGAAGAAAAAGACAAAGGATGGCGAAATTGACTGAATAAAACTGCAATCACCACCCAAACAATGATTTAGGGATGGACTGGCTGGCTGTATTACAGATTACAATGTGCACAGCTATACAGCATCATCAAACACAAGTAAACGCTCTTCAATGTGTACTCGACATATGGGGCACCTCTTGCACTTTTCGCCGCAGCCGCTGATCAAATGCACAAAAGAATACTTTGTAATGATGGAAAAGAAATGTAAATGAACTTCCAAATTCATTTCAGTTCATTCCCCATCACTAGCCAATTACAGAAAATTGCGAAATGAAGCAATACCTGCAAAGCACGTAATGTCTGCACGGTAGTAGAACCAAATTTATATGTTCATCGAAGCATACTCGACAAAGGATCTTCTCCTGAGAGAAAATTGGGTAGATATCAATAATCATGGGTGAGAATATGGACATCAGAAATGTTAATCTTCATAATGCAACATTATGAAACGGTTTGTTATATTAAGCACAAATCAAATTTCCCTAAATATACACTATGAATTGACTTGTTCAATTGTTTATAAAATGGAAAATAAAAAACTAACAGTATATGAATAAAAGGAAGAAGATTACATTTTGAAGTCTTTCAAACTCCTCCTGGCTAATGTTTGTGATTTCTGTTTGAGCAGTTAGTGCTGATTGAAGCCTCCATATCTGAAAAATGAAAACAATAGCAATACAGCAATAACATGTAATCACAAAGTAGAAAAAATCTGAAATTAAAGACAATGACCTCCTTGGCAAGCTCAGCCTTTGGCATTTTCTTTACAGCTTCAGGCGAAAAGGTATTGTATCTGTCAATGACAATGGGTTTGTTAGTTTAGTGATTTGGTTTGAAGTAATTTTTTATATAAAATATAGAGAATCGTATTACTAATATAAAAAATAATATTTTATGTTGAATTTTGATTTTTTTGTGAAAAAATAGAATATATATTATATATGTTGGGAATTGTATGGGAAAAAAAATTGTAGGCAAACAAACCCAATATTTAGGAGCCATCTAATATACAACTATATGTATATATAAACATATCCATTGTTTAGAACTCACCCAGTTTCTGAACCACAATACAGCCGAGCTTGCTCCTCTCGACTTCCTTCGTCAATGGACCACCAACCAAGTAACCTGATACAGAAAAAAATAAGATCCACAGATAGTGGCAACAGAGCACAACTTATCAGATATATTAGGCTCTACACATTGTAATTACCTTGATCCACGACGCAGAAATCCCATATAGTCATAAGCTGTTGGCGGTAGTCTAAATGTGCTTCCTGAATCTGCTTCTGGATGTATTAACATATTGATTTTTTCAAAAAAGCGATATATCGCAAACAACAAACCAGCTCCTTGAAGCAGAAGAAGAGGCAAAAATAAAACTGGAATTGGAATGTTTCTAGCACCAGGTGGAGTTCCCTGGAATCAATAATAGATGTGCTGGATTAGCTTGCCGTCAACTGAAAAGATACAGGGCAAAAAACTCAGTTCTGAACTACTAATATACCTCCAAGTACATAAACAGCATGATCTGAAAAGCCACAAAGGGAATTTTCATCACATGCCCACCAATGTCTTGCAAACTGCACATCCTGCTTTCTTGATTGTCTTCCTCAGAAGGTATTAACACACCATTGTTCCAGCTAAGATATCTTATATTCATTGAAGATGACGATGATGATGCAGCAGCAGCCATATTAGATCGCCTATGAATCGCAGGATTATACCACTTTGTGCATATAAGAAACGCAAAGCACTGTGCAACACTGATAACAAACACAGCACAATTATATGCAACGGACAGGGTGAATATTCAGTGCTGCTAGAAAAAGGGAATATATTTTATTTACCCATAATTGATAAATAGATCCCACCAACCAAGAGCAGCCACATCACCTGCATATGGTCCCAGAAAGAATTAGAGATGTAGAATGGAGGTGTGTCCTCTGATAGGTGATTAATAGATCTCACAACAAACAAGATCATTGACAGATGCATACAAAACCACATCTCTTTAGAGTGAGGAAAACATATTTACTAAAAAAATTGGGTACCATTTCTTTGACAAGACTCCTTATTTCAAACTGTATATATATTGTAAGTCCATTTTGAAATTGAGAGAAATCTAAAGCAGAAGTATGTCAAAGTGTTTCCAGGACAGCTTAAAATCAGAGAGCATGAACGATTTTGATCTATAAAACCTTCTAAACCTTGTGCAACAAAACAGGTGAAACTGACATTATTACGAAGGATGGATTGAAAAAATACACATTCAATAAAAGCTCTGCTGCAAAAAGGTATTACCACATAGCTTCAGAAGCGTAAATGTTGTTGCGGCAATGAAGAAGACCATTGAAATCGAAACCCAGAAGTGCTGAATAAACATAATGAGGCCCATAAGTTAACCAGTGCGAGAAAATGCAATAGCACGTCAGAAGAAACAAGACATTTACAGTTACAAATAGGAGAAAACCACAATTCTTCATTATCTAATCATCAATCATCGATGTTAGTAGAAAACTTCATTAGCTAACCATCAATCATTCAATTCTATAATATGTTAGTAATATTTACTATTACTATTTACTCTAATAAAACCCATTCATCATACCTATTCTTGAAATTCACAAAAACAAAAAACTTCATATTTCTCAATTTGTGTCAAATCGATTCTTATAGATACCTCCTCTTCCATCTTAAAAGAATATCACTAAAACACCCTAGCATTCTCCACTACTCTATCCCCTCCAGCAGGTACATGCTGGACTCGTATTCCTCTGATTTATCCCAACATGGCTTATTCAATTTTGGATAAGTTTTCAGAATATTGAAAGCTTACAAGGGTGCTTAGCGACAGCAAAATTCAAGTAAATAAAGGTCTTGTTTTCTCTGTTCTCCCCAACAACTTTTCTATCAGAATTAGTAGCCAGTTGCTTGATTCAGAAATATGTAAACATGCTAGAAATTTTCAATAACTACTTCAAATCTAGTTAGTTACAGAATTGATGAAATACACATCCACATGCATATCTTTGCAGGGTGAGATATTGACATAAATTCATGATTGTTTTGCATATCACCAAAACATTCCATTACAACTTTACTCAGCAAAGACTTGGATAAAAAAAGAAAAGAAAAGTATTTCTTAAAACATACCGGAAGAGTCTCCCAGATAGCCTCATCGCTGATATTTTCTTCATCTCCAGGCATAAGTGCTCTACACATCCTGATTATAGAAGATAAAATAATGAGCACAATGGTAGCATAAGCCCTATATTGATACAAATGATATAAATTGTAGTCCAACATCCTTGTGTTCAGGAGGAGAATGGAAAATGTTACCTAATGTTATCAACCAGTATTGCAATTTCTAGCGCCAGGAGAGGCAGGAAAACAATCTTCAAATTTACAGCTGTCATTTATCATATTTTGGAAACAATAAATCTGACGACATTTTCATAAACACCGGTGAAAAGGCACTTGAAGTTACAAATGAACAAATATGAGCTCATTTAAGCAACAACAGAAAAAGAGGGATAAAACAAGCTTACCATATCTTTTCTCTAGATAAACACAAAGGAGCAGTTCGAATGCGATAAGCAAGGGAGTAGCCACAATGGCATGAAAAGGGGCCCACTGTCCAAAAAAAGGGTTTAAGTAATGTTAAGTTAATGGCATAAGTGAAGTTAGAAAGTGGGAACTTTTCGCACATCAAAAAGAGATATTTTCAAACAATGTAATGCATCTTATCATACATAGCGACCATGTGGCATTGATGGGGCTGGTAAGGAGAATCTTCCTCTTGCCACAACAGCATGAAATAACCAGAGTGGAGAAAACACCAACCTATGAAAATTGCAGAAACAATCTGCTTAGATGCATGAGATATGTAGCTAAGAGCAGTTCGTGCAAGAAAACTAGATAACTACCAGACAAATGGAATCTGAATAACGATAACTAAGCATGGCTCATTTTCAGACTATTTTGTGTAAATTGGACAAACTGCAAAGGGCTGAGAAACAGAGGTACAAATTACAGATAATGAGATTAGCATGTTCGTGTTAAATATATAAAAAAAAAAAGTTCCCATGATCTTATAACTGAGCCACAGATGAGGGAACATGAGAGTATGACATTCAAGTACAAAATTCTCATTCCCCAAAATACCCACAGAAAGCAAATTAGATGTATAAATCCTTTCCTTTTACAAACAAATAAATGAACAGAGCAAACCTTCCCTTCCATCTTCCAACAGCGACAACAATCTGCCTTTGTCTGCCACAACAGAAGGCATAATAACTTACTAAATGCATTCATAAGTTTACAAGATACAAGTAAATCAGACCAGTGTCTATGTTCGGTTCTTATAACATTTACCAAAATACTCACTTTACACGGTGCCTACTCAATTATACAAAACTAGAGCACAATAGTGATTTTGGAGAAAAGACATACCACCATAATAACCTATTCAATTCAAAATATTTTTAACCTTCTGCGTGTAAACCAGACAGGGTCTTAAATTTTTTACATGGTTGTGTATCTGGAAATTCCTACGGATCAAGAAATTTCAAATTGATATCCAATTGTAAGGTCGAACCTAAAACCAAAACTATTAAGAGCAGATTAGATTTACTGAAATAATAACTCCATATAAACTAGAAACATCAAGAACAAAAAAGAAAAACCACACTTTGTGCCCCAGCCCTCAAAACACCATAGCCCCCAGTACATAAATTAAACAAACCCCCACTCCCGACGGCATCAGAACATTGAAAGTCTCGAAAACAACGCCAAGAAACCAATAAAACAAAAGGTTAAAGAGAGCAAGAAACAAACCACCAAGAGCAGTCAACAGCGTGATGGAGCTTGAGGGAGAGAATAAGAGTGAAAGTAAAAAGCAATCCATGAGCCACCACCACTTGGATAGACTTGAGAATTCTCCTCCAAGTCATCATCGCCGTTGTCTCTACCCAGTACCACTGATTAACCTCGATCAAGGGAACAATACAGAAAATTACACCTCCTGGCCTCTTTCTATTAACTCCGCCGGCAGCGATTGACAACGAACGAGAAGGTAAAACACGAAACCGACGGGGAAAATTTTTCAACGCAGATTTACAAGAGTGGAAGGGAAATAAGAGATCTTACAGACAGCAACGTCAATTCCTCACCTTTATGATTTAGGAGAGGAGACCCACTGCCACTGTATTGAGCTGTATTGTAGAAGGTCGCAATTACCCCCGACAGTACTACGGAAAAAACCTTTAGATTAGGGGTATTTATGTCCTTTTAAAAGTAATATTCCCCTGTAAAAAAGGTTCAGATCGGTCGGTATGGGTGGAACGTTCACTTATATTTTCTTAACTCTTTATAACTATTTAACATTATCTTTTTACGTGATTCGAGTAAATCAAACAATTTTTACAAATATTTTAGTGTTCAAATCCAATAATAAAAGTAGAGTATATAACGAATAAATAAATAAATATTATCATCTTCAAATTGAGTATTTTAACCTATTATTGACTCAACACTTTTTAATTAAAAAGTAAATATGATTTTAAAATAGAATTACAAGTACAGAAAAAATTGTTTGAAGTTCATTTATGTTTTTGTAACATGACGTGCAATATTTTTAAAAATGCAAAGTTTTTTTTTTCTAATTTTTAAAAGATTTTGCATAACTTTTTTTAATATAAGAAAGTCTTGTATAATTTTTAAATTCAATAGATATGATACAGATTAATTATATACAATTTTATCTAAAAGTTCCAAAATAAATAAATAGAATAATTTTATTGAGAGAATCACATCAAATTAATAAATTGAAACTTAATATAATCAACTTGTTCACTTAACATTTTCTATTGGAACTATTACTTATGAATATTATTTAAATAAACATAATTTACATACATATTAATACAATATATAATATATATTTTATTTATTTATAAAAATCAACAATTCAACAGTAGTTTTTAATATTACCAATATCTAACATGAAAATCACTTAAAAACACAAAGTAAACAAATTCAATATATATATATATAACAAATAAAGTAAAGAGTAGAAAGTAGATGTAGAAAATGTAAAGTTGTTTTTAGTGTTATTGGATAAAATATTCTTGCTACACATTTACGTACAAATAATTTTGTGCAAACTATGTTAGTTATATTTTGTGCGTTGTTTGTTCTCTCTCTCTATATATATATTTATATATTACTGTTTAGTCCTAATAAATACTTTAACAAAATATCATTAGAAATATTATTTAAATAAAATATCATATAAAAATTGTGATACCTCGGCACACATCCTAGAAATTTTTTCGGAGTCATCAATTCTTTTTAGTAGGATTTTTAAAAAAGAGTCGCGCAAAGCCGAACGTGTAGATTGCATACTGACCTCACAGGTCAACATAAGTTATTTCAACTTGTCTATGTCCTCATTCATCCTGTGAGACTTTCCATATCATCCATCCTCAAAGCCAATCAAACTTAACTAGTAATTTGAATTTGCACATTGTTAACACCGGTCTATTCAATTTATTTAACCTCTAATCAACTTCGAATATCTTAACACCGGTCCATCTAAATACTGAATTGCCAAGCAACGATATGAGTATCACAAAAATATAGAACTCAAACCAAAACCACTCTGTTAGAAATTTTGGGAGAAAACAATCTTATTGTCTTATTGATCATCAAAATAAGAAAGTCTATATATATTTACTATAAAATATGTCAATACACTCAAACATAAGATTTTAATTAAAATCTTTCTCTAGGCACCATGATAAATTATTATATTATATTATAAAATTAAATTTACATATTACAAAATTTAAAAATATGTCATTGATATAATGCAATGTTTTTTTAGTGTAGAGTAATATGTATATATTAAAATCAATTTAATAAGTAGTTCTCTCTCGATGTATTCTAAATCCAAAAATAATTCTTGGACATTAGATCTTTAGATGTATGTCATATAATTTAGAAATAAATTATACAATATTTTTATATTTTAGTAAAAATGAACAAAAAATTATATATTTGATATATTGTATCAATGATTTCGTGTTAAGTTAAAGTAATCACAAAATCATTTTTATTTTTTTTTTACAATATTTGATTTGTAAATGCATACTAATTATACAAATAAAAAATAAAAATTTTTAGTAGTATTTTTTACTGAAATACATAGCTAACAATGATTTATTACCAATTTTTACAAAAGTAAATTATATAAAAAGAAGTAATCAATTGTGTATCTATTGCGTAAAATTTTATTTTATTTGTATAAATTTGTATAATTAGATGCACATTTGTAATCAAATATCAAGTTTGACGGATGTTTTATGTGTACTTTTAATTTAGAAAATTTCACGTAATAAATAAAATACAAAATATTGTATACATTTTTATTCCAACATAATGAGTATTATACTATAATTTACCTTATTTTCAATTTGGCTTATTTGTACTCACCATATTCCATAATCATAAATGATAAACAAATAGATTAATATTCAATATATGAATTTATTTATGAGAGGTGAGAACAATTTATCAATTATAGTACATTGATAGACAATATAGTCAATAACAAAAATAATACTAGTATACATAGACAATAATACATAGACACAATTTTGAGCAACAACATAATTACATCACCAAATAATTCGATCTAACACTAAATAAATCATGTAGTATATTCCAAATATTCAACTAACTAAATAAATAAATAAATTGTTTAGCATATTGTCGACAACATCTTAAATATTGACAGACAACACAATATTAGTATTAACATAATATAAATACGCCTACTATAAAAATTTTTTATATAATACATGATTTCAGTTAATATTATTTGTTGTGTCATATATCCTACATACTTATTTGGTATGAGCTGACTAAGACTAATCAACCATACTTATTAGTTTAACATTTATAATTAAGTTATAAAAATGTACTTAACATCTCAAATTAGATTATTAATCTCTTTTTTTCGAAAAAAAGAAAAGAAAAGAGGATCAGTAGACACTTCTGAAAGTAAATTCAAAATGAAAAAGTATGCATAATATCACACAATACATAAAAACACACCAAAAAGATGAAATATATTGATTGTTTTTTTTGGTGATGGCAAGTGCTAATAAAAATGTTGCACTTTGATACAGCAAACTGATCCACCCCTCGATATCCATATCCATCCCACCCCCCCATAAATACATATATATCGACCACTTCAAACCTTGCACAAAGAAACTTAACTTAAATATACCAATCCCATTAGTTAATATATATATACAGAACCATATATGATAATGATACTGATCTGATATAATATAACAGCTCAAGAAAGATGGAACTAAGTCCAGCATGAAACCCTGCAACAGCGTGGTGGGGACTTTCTTCAAACTCAATTTGTAGGCAACAGAAAACCACAAAACAACAAACTAAGCAGCAGCAGCAGCAGCAGAATTGCGACGTACGTACGTATCTTATTGCCAACAAGAAACCCTCTCTCGAAAGTGTTGCAAAGATTTTCTACTTGAGGTTTTGATCTAAGTTTTCCCTCTCAAGAAAAAGATTTTCCAATATACATTCCCCCATCTGTATGTTCTTAGTGAAGACGAAAATGATGTAACTGGAAATCTGACCAACCACAATCCACTCAACCCTCTGTGTGTATGATCCCAATTCACTTTCTTCCTCTACTGTTTCACTCCCAAATATATAATTTACTTCTACCACACCCATACCCTTATCTATAGTGAAAGAAGCACAAACCCAAAACCACACAAAACACCCCAAAAATTTAAAAAAAAAGTGGGAATAATTAATGTAGGATTTTAATTAATTAATTAATTAATTAATTATAGGAGGAATTGAAGTACTTAAAGGGACCTGTGTTCAAGGATGTTGATATTGGTCCTTTGCCTCTTGACATTCCCAGAAGCTGATTCATCACCGTTGGATTTCTCCATGACTGCTTTGAGGGCTTCTTGTATTGAGCTTATGGAGCAGTGCTGCTGCTGCTGCTGCATCTGATGCTCAACTTCACCACTGTTACCATCTTCGTCTCCAGTGATGAACAGTACATTCCTTACCCTCCCACCCAGTGTGGTGATTTCAGCTTTCAGTGTTCTTAGCCTTAAGGCTTTGAGTGTCTTGATCAGATCAGGCAAGAGGTCTGATCTGTCTTCACAGCAGATTGAGGCTTTGATCACCGGCTTTCCCTCTTCATCCAATGCATTGTCCACTGATAATTCGTCGATCTCCGTCGGCACCGGGCTTGATTCTGCTATTACTGAAGTCTGCCTCTTGAGCTCCTTCACATGCTGGATTACTTCCGCCAGCAATGAGGCTTTGTCCGTCTTGAAAACAATTGCAAATCAACAGAACATGAATTAGAGACGCCAAAAAAAAAAAAAAGAACACTTCAAAATGGCATGAATTCATAGAAAGTAGCATTTTTACTCTCTCTCTCTCTCTCTCTCTCTCTCTCAGATGCATACAATCATGCACTTCCTAAAAGTAACAGACTTTACTATAAATCTAAAGGGGGTTGGGATTTGATGTGGCGTTTGTTGCATAGTGTGTAAAGGAAAGTTTTGTTATTCTTTTATGAAGGTTTTTGGGGCAGTGCTGGGGTAGCTATCAGAGCTGTTGTTTGGCGTTGAATGGTGGGATTAGTGAGAGATAGGCAGGCAAGGCATGGGTATAAGAATAATAATAACAATGTGTGAAAATGAACCCAATGACTGACAAGAATGCTTCTTTGTCTGTCTTTTTTAGAGTATTTCTTTTGAGATCCCTTTAAAATTTTGACTGCGACTCCGGCAAGAATTTTCCATGGAAGCTTTTCAACTGCTCCATGGTTTCTCTTTATCATATCAAACTGACCGATATTAACGCTTGCACTCCCCTTTTCCCCTCCCCAGTTTTTCCTCACCTCGAACAACCAACCCCCCCACTCGAGAGAAACCAACCATTCACGAATTGAAAATTGTGAAGACATAAAATAGAAAGGAATAATTAGGATCAATGAGCTGGTTTATATATATAGCTAGCTCATCTTCTTCAGCACAGACATACATTCTAATAGAATATAATCATAGTGGGATCCTGGGATAGAAAACCTGGTTGGTAAAATCCACTTAATTAAATGCATCATGGGGATGGAATATTTAGGCGATGCTACGATATACGGACAAGAATATAATATGGTAATGATTGTATATAGACAGGTAAATAAATATATAAGGATTTAATTAAATGATAGTATATAGTAATCAATCAATTAATTAAATAATGCTTACTTTGGTTGTACTTGGCAATAGGCTTCTAAGCTTAGCAAGATGATTATTGATTCTTTCTCTGCGCCTCCTTTCAGCTTCACTGTGGCTTTTGGAAGCTGCGAGGGCCTTAGCATCCATGATTTCTTGAGCAGTCATTTTCTGGAGCTCGGCGTGGAGGCCGAAGGGGGTGGAGCTAGGGTGAACCACCTGGCCTAAAGACTCGGAAATGAGCCTCAAATGGTGGTCGGAAGACGAACCATCGTATCCGAATTGGAGGCCCGATGGCGGCCGCCGGTTGAACAGACCTCCATAAGACGGCGGCGCGGGAGGGGGGAGGAGAAAGGGGTCGTGGTTGAAATTGTGGACTTGAGGGAGTGTCCATGGAAGGATTTGTGAAACTTCAGGGAAGGTCAGTGTGGATCCTCCTCCGGCGTTGGGGGCTCCAACCCCCCCAATATATGCATCGGCAGTAGCACTGCTGTTGTGTTGCTGCATCTGAAGAGGAGTGAATAGTGACGACGACGATTCCTCCTGAATTTGGAAACCCTCAATGTTATCAGCTAAGATTTGGATACCCTGAGAAATAACGTTTTCTTGATTCTCTTTGTCGTTGCTGTCATACATAATAAATACCGCAAAGCCCACAACACTGGGAAACCCCACCCCTATTTATATGATGAGCATATGCATATGTATGTGTATGTGTGTATATATATATACAAGAATATGGGGGGTGGGGGGGGGGGGCTTAATTATGGGTGTCGATAGCTGAAAAAACAGGCTTGAAATCAAACTAACTTTAGGGTTGTTCCATAATCATGCCATCTTTCTTTCACACAAAGATGAAAAGAAAGAACATACGAAAGAAAAGGATTCAAGAGCTTAGATTTAGAATCAATTTCCTTTGGGGGCCAAAAGGGGAAGAAATCAGGAATAAAAAGCTAGGGAAGTAAAGACGAACATAATGGGATATATATATATAGATTTAAGGAGTTTTATGGCCGGCCCACCGGAGATGTAATATATATATATATGTATAAACTTGTGTGTATATATGTATATCTGTTGTTTAAATTAAGGGTTTTTACCTTTAAATTCTTCTTCGTCTTCTTCAATTCTTCACTGTCACAGCCTTTTATGGAGGTGATTTTGTGTGAAGGGTGGAGAGCCTAGAAACCGCCTTTTATCTTACAATCGATCAATACCTTTCCCTTTTGTATTGTGCTTTCTTGGTATCTTTTTGGATTTTATTTTATTTTATTTTTAAATAAATAAAAGAAATTTGGCCCATCTCACCACTCATAACATATATAGAGGTGTGCAAGCAGTGTTAATCTTCTTTCCTTTCTTCTTACGGCACTCCATTTTCCTCTTTCCTCTCTCCTCTCTCCTCACTCTCATTACGTATCCATTTCTGTAGCTATCAGAGCCAGTCTGAGCTTTTTTGAGCATACATAGGTGGTACATAGACATACATACAAATATTATAATACAATTGTGTGTTGATATATATATATATATGTTGCTTAGTGATTGGTTCAAAGTCTATAATTACAATCTCTGAGTGCTGTTGGCCGCAGAAAGAATGAATCTTGATGAGAGAGAAGAAGAAGAAGAAAGAATTTGGGGAAACACAAGCACCACATAGTGAACACACAACACACAGATTGTCGACCGACCAGAGACAAATAATAAAAAGCATAATATAGTGTATCTGTGTGTGTGATATGATAATTTAAAAAAAAAAAAAAAAAAAGGAGGGGGAGGGGGAGGGGGAGGGGGGCTAGGGTGGGGTAGGTACCTCATATACCTTGGTTCGTCTTTGGTCAAGCAAGCAAGCTTGTTGCAATATTATGGCCGGTTTGAGTATAGGTATTTCCACGCCAAAAACCTTTCTGCTTCCCCAAGACCCCATGGTAATGATTGTGTCTTGGAACACACTCCTCCCCATCCAATCCAGGTTCTCTTTATTCTTGGATACAGTTTCTGTCTCTATATGCAACAGTTTCCTCGGTTTCAGTTTCTCTATGTTGCATCTCTATGTATGTATATATCTATATCTATATCTATCTCTGCTCTTTATGCCATTTTCCACTGCCATGCTTTTCTCTAGCTCCCTTTATTTAATTTGCTTCATCCATCTTCTTCCTACCCACCATATTATTTCATGCAGCAAAAACTGGAACATGCATTATGTTCTTAACAAGTATAAAAGAATTTGAAAAACAAAAACAAAAACCCTACAGTTGAAACAAGAAAAGGTGGATGTCATGTCGTCTTTCATTGAAAGGTTTTGATCTTTATCAAACAAAGCCTGATTATAAATAACAAACACAGACTAAGTAGTTGTGAGAATGAAGCAATTGTTTTTCCCACTGAAAAAGTGAATCATAATAATCATCATCAGTCATCCTAGCTAGCTAACACCACATACAACCCCTTTTTTGTTTTTGGGGTTTTTCCCCTTTTTCTTGGTACCATTATTGTTCAACTCACTGTGCCTGTCTCTCCAGCATCATATTATATAAGTGGGTGTGTTTATGGGGAAGTGAAAACGTAACCCTAACTCACCATTCAGGTTTCAGAACAGCAGCTGCAGCACTACAAACAATAATGATGATCATTATTAATTTGCCCTTTATTTTGCACACCTTGTTCAATTCATTCATTCAATTCGATCTCTTAATTGCTGAACAAAACTCCATCACATTATAATGTGGGTTCAATTCATTTCATTAATTCTCAATTAATTAATCAATTCAGTAGAGAAGAGAAATTAAGAAGAGAAGGAGACACAGCCTTGTGCACCTAAATGGTCACACGCATGGCTGCTCTGGTCCCCATTTTCCATAACCTTTTTGGACCCTTTTTCCTATTCTCATATACTTACATTAATGAATTATATAATAATATTTTTTTCATTAGCTAGGTAGGATTGTCGTATATATATATATATATATTTATGTTCAAAGATTTGATGATAGCATCAGCATCAACCCCCACTAGTGTGTACAGCAGCATTATATTAGCCCACGGGAAAGAAAGAAACAATAAAAAAGCCTTCTTTGCCTTTGCTATATAGCTCTGGTCCTCAATTCAATTCCTTCAATTATATATGACGTCACTCTCACGCTTTCATGACGTAAGTTTCTCAGTTACAAACCCTTAATTATTTTATATAAGGACTATAATATACACTTAATTAAATAACTGCTTTAATCATAACTAATGCATGCCCACCTTTTCATTCATTTTTCATTTTTTATTTTTAAGTAGCCCCTTATTAGTTTATTCCTGGTTTTTGGTAAAGCTATTGTTAAATATGATGCATCACAAGCTTGATTGTACTTCTCTGCTGTTTCAATATGGTTTATTTATATATATAGTGCCTGCACATGTAGGGTTTTGGGGAAAAAAAAATAAAAAAAAAAAGAAGAAATTTTCATAAAGATATAATTTGTACCTAATTAAAATTTTCTTGATATGGGTTTTGAAATTTGTCCTCTTCTGTTTATTATTGATTTATTGTACTATATATATGCATATGTGTTGCAACTTGCAAGTGCCACTTCAAGATTAGTTGATTCAATCATTACTAATTCATGTCTTAATGATGCATCATAATTTGACCTAATTAAAATGCAAGGAAATACTAGTATATTATTATTATTATTATTTTTATTTATTTATAATAATAATTATTATTGTATGTGTATATATATTGGTAGGGAGGGATGTAATTATGATAAGTACTGTAAGAAAGTGGTCCATCAAGTGGGTATATATTGTAGTGGAGAGTCTGATTTTCCAGAAGGCACCTTCCAAGAAAAACCCATGTATTACATTTCATCTTTAGTACTATTATCAAAATAATATTATTTTAAATGCACTTTACAATATTTAATTTTGAATAGTCGTAAAAGTTTTTCCTTTTCTTAGCTTCTTTATGTCCTCTAAGAGTCTAAGACTCACACGCACATACATAAATATATTGAGATAAAAGACTTATTTCTCTTACATGGAACACTTTTTGTCTTAATAAGGGTTTTCTATATATTCTGAGGAATAGAGAATAGTTGTGGACTGTTTTCAACTGTTTTAATCAATATATTGTTCATAAATTCTTTTTCAAAAATCAAATTAAATATTTATTTAAGAAAAAGAAATTATTTACAAACTATATGAGTTGATGTCTCAGGAATATATATACAAATGTTTGAAATATTTGGAAGAACAAATTAAAACTAGAGTAATAAAACAATATATATTTTCTGAAATAAGGTAAACATTATTTAATTGTGTGGTTGTTGCAAGAACTTTCTACGATCGAATTGCACATACAATACACGACACGACACAACAAATCGAACTACTTTTCTGCAAGAAAACAAAATTCACCAAAAGTGTCTTTGGGTGTTTTTTTTTTGGCTTTGAATTATACTTAACTACAGTTTGGATGCCTAAGTATGGTTTTTGTAATAAATAAAAAGGAATAGAAGTTTCTAAATAAATTAAAAAAAAAAGAATGAGAAAAATGGCAATTTCCAAATATTAATGAATAAATTAAGCTTAATAATCAGTTAATTGGTTGTGGAATATAAAAGATAAGTATGCAAGAGAATGTGTTGAATGAGACAGGTGAATTAATCAAAGTGGACCAACGAAAATCTAATGCTTCGAGTGGCTGTCTCTATATTATTATTATTATTATTATTATTATTATTATTATTGTTATTGTGACTATTAATATTATTATATACAAAAGTAATGTTGTCCATTTGTCGGAAAGTGATGCCCCCGTCAATTCAATTTCTCTTCACATTTTAAAATGGACATACTCATTAAAATTTAAATTTAAATAGTACAATTAGTATTTTCTCCAATATTATTTACTTACTGCAGATACATTTTCTCATTTGTGGGACTCATTATTACATTTACACATGCATAAGCATATCTCACTAACTAATAAATAAATAAATTAATTAATTTAATAATTGTGCAAAGTACAAATTGTTGACCCAGATCGTGTCGTTCGCGTATGTACATCGATTCACTTGTCCTAATCAAGGGTTGAATTAATTAGTTGATCGGATTTGAAATAAATTAGTTACAAATTTGTGTAGTTATCAGCTAGTATAAATATATATAATTTAATTACTTATATACAAATATATATATATATATATGTGTGTGTGTGTGTGTGCGCTGAGACATTTGGTATTGCATGAATATTGAAATAAATTGACAGCCGAAAGTGGTGTTGGATTCATAATGTGCACACCACTAGACAACATTAGATTTTACGATACCTGCTTGCTTCCTTAATCATTTCTCGACTAAACAAAGTAAAGCTACATACACATACACATACACACCAATTATTGCAAATAGATTAATTAAATTTTTAAATGAAAAATAAATAACTAATATAAGTTTATAACTCCAATTCTGCACTTTGATATATACATTTGGAACTGTTGCAAGTTGGGCCTACATAAATGAGCAGTAGTAATTGGGCTCGGCCCATTAAACCTTGCGGACTTTAAACTGAGGCGGGCCGATAACTTATATGTAGGAATTAATTATTATGTATATGGTCTTCACCTATATCTATAATTTTTTCGCATAATAAAATTTAGAGAATTAAATTGATTTCCACTTATAGATTGTGGTTAGGGACTTAGGGTGGATGATGAAGCTATTCAAATTACATACCATAAAAAGAAACTCAATCCCTATGAGCCCTAAATTTGAAATTAATTTGTAGCTCATACTATATTTGTTTGTTTTCAAATTATGCTGCAAATAATATATGTATATATATATATAAGTAAATTATATCCAATATTTATTTTTGGTTGAAAAGTTGCATCCAAAATTGTACTATTTATTTTCTATTTGAATTTTTTTATTATTATTTTAAACCAACAGTAATTTGGAAGAAAAAAATATGAAAACAAAAAATAAGATAAAAATAAAGGTTAGTTAGTGTTTGATATTCTCCAGCATTTAACTGTGTTATAAAAAATAATATTGTATATATATATATATATATATTTATTAGATTAAGTGGTTATCACCACACATGCATTTATAGTAATGGGTTTGAGTTGACCAAGACTCAGACTAGGATCCCACTTATTTATTTGTGGTTCGGATATCAGGTTGGGTATGAATCAAATGTTGTATATTCTAATCGGGTTCGGAATATAGGACTAGACTCTACTTGGATCTGAATTTGACCCTTTCAATATATTTATATTATGTCAATATTATTTTTTTAACAATACAATTATATTAAAAATATTTTTATTAGTTTTATTTATGAATGTGTTATAATATTTTTGAATAAAATACATAAGTTATGATATATATGATTTGATTTTCTTGTACATTGCGTCTTATCCAATATAGCCAGGTCAATCAAGGTATAGCCAGAGTCGAATTCGATTCGGGTATCGGGCCTGAACATACGTGTTCACATCGGATCTTGGATCCGGATGAATTTAATCTATACCCGACCCATTGAGATCTCTAATTTTAGAATATGTCCATAAATATTTTTAGTGATTTTATTTTTAATAATATATAAGTAAGATTGAAATGTAACAATATTAAAGTCAATATTTTTCATTTTCTTTTGTTTTGGGTAGATCTTGGTAATTTGGAGATCCTCCACCTCCGCCATGCGATCTCCGCCATGCTACAAAGGGATATGGTCTGAATCTACTCCTTTTAGAATTTTTGTCCTTCGGCTCCCAATCTAATTAACTTCAGTCCTTAATTAAATCGAACTTGACTCTCAACTCTTTCTAGATTTCTAGTTGTCCAACTAATTCTTGAAAGATTCTAACTCTTTACAGTTATATGAATAATTCAGATCTAAAGTTAAATCTTAATTTGTAAAAAGTCAAGGAAGATAAATAATTGGTTCAGTAGAAAAAGAGGGCTAGTGAAAAATGATAGATCTCGAAAAAGTAATTAATCATTACGGCATAAAATACATACAGAAATTGTAAAGTTCCATAAACCTACATTACATAAATGTATATTCAAGTTCTGCCCTTTCAAAATTGTGATATATAAATAGACAAGTCTATTCATTATTGCATTCATTGCTATGGTCGGTTACTATATAATAATAATAATAAAGAATCAATTAATGTGTGGTCCTTATTAAACCCGAAAAATAATCATACTAATAAAAAAAAGAAAAAGAAAAGCAAATATCAGTGTATAAATTGTTAAAACATGCAATAAAAGTTGCATGTAATGTAATTGCGTAACTTATTAATGGAAGAGTCCATAATAAATCATGTGTAAAATATTTTCAGAAAATGTTTAAATAGGTATATGAGTGCATGGCCATGGCATATTATTATATATAGAGATGCCGATCAAAACTAATTATTACATTCATCGAGGACAGAAAGTGACACGTAAAGTGACTATGTGGTAGAGATATTCAGAGGCAATGTTACAAAGTGTGACACGTAATGCTATCACAAATTTGATATATTACCTAATTTGAACTTTTGTTTCTTTTTATTTTAGATGAGACAGATCAGCGATCGTGGATTTGAAAATAAAATAAAAGAAAAGAAAACTATTAATAAATCTCTATATATAAAATGAAAAGAAAAAAATAAAAAATAAAAAATCTCTTCGTTATATAAATGATTCTTTTCAAGTACATGGTGGGGTTTCAGAATAATGAGAAAATGAATAACTAATTTTTATTTTGTTATATTATTTTGATTAAAGTAATTAATGGGAATGAAAGTTATATTAAAAAGATTCTCATCTTTAGCACAACCTTAATAAATACAACTTTATTTGGCGTTTAAATAATCAATACATATTCATTAATATATAATGTGAAATGAATTTCTTGAATATAATAATTTTATGATTCATAGATAATTTAATTTTAATAATCATGTAGACCCTTTCCTATTTGTTGTACAAAACAATAATATATATATATATATCTTTAATTTGACAATGTCGATTTTATTTCAAAAGGGCAATTATGTATATGAAGAATAATTGACAAGAGTATAGTATATCAATTAAATTTAATGAAATATGCAATAATAAAATAAAAAGAGTTGATGAAAGAGACATATATAGAGGGAGGGTCATATGGTCAAAGGAACATGGTCTTTAATGAAAAATAAAAGTAGGGTTTAATATTGGTTCAAATAATTGTCCTACCCTTAGCTCTTGTAGACTAGGGGAGGACACCTATAAATACAAACATATATATATATATATGTATGTATATTCATAAAAAAGACCTTTTTCGAAACCTTTTTTTTTAAAAAAATACTATAACTTTATTTATACAAAATCTAATTTATTCGTAGAAACATAAAATTAAATTAGCATCAATGTCATCCAATATAAAATATGTTAAGAAGTAAAATGAATCCCAATGGAATAATATAACATAATTGATATGATTAATAAATATGTACATAAATGAATATATATATATACCCACTTAATACGTAAAAAAAACATATAAATTAATATATTTTGCATGTTCTTAAATGGTTTTAAAATTTAAAATTTTATATTTGTAAACCCTTCAATGATACACATATTTTTTCTAAAGTAATAATAACGATATGATATTTTATTAAATTAATTTGAAATTAATAAAGAATAATGCAAGTGTAAATGACTTGTATATGTTCATATATACTTAGGAAAATGTGTATTGGATAGGAGTAATAATAATGATAATAAATAAATAATAAAGCACGGGTAGTTATACGTCGTCGTTTAGGTGGTCTATCTTCTCCACGTGAGCTCCACTCTATCTCTATGCTCTTTTTGGCTGTCTCATCTTCTCAGGGTTGATGATGATCGTCTACATTACAATGTACTGTGATTCCGACTGTGACTGTGAGAGATAAACCAATTATATATATACATATATATATATGTATGTGTGTATATATGTATATGGGGCATCATGTCGCTTTCGTAGTTAAATCTCAAGCTGTCCACCTTTGCCCTTTCCCTCCATCGCCATAGCTAGCTGGACAGTCACACGCAGACGACGAGTCCGGCAATCTTCTTCTGCATTTCTACTTCTTAATTCAGACATAGCCACGTTCTTCCTTGCCCTAATTCCCTCTCTCTCTCTCAATAGAACTTCATCATGTTCTTCAGACCTAAGGGTGCTTGATTATTCCAATCACTATATATATATATATATATGATGTATGTATTGTGTGTATCATCATTCACCATTCCACACCATGTTTAAATGCTTTCGATAGTAATGAATGAAAAATGTGAGGATTTAAGTGGCGATGCATTTACAATGTTTTCTTTGGGCGACGAATCCTTGTTCAAATCTCCTCCACCTAACAGTTTCTTCCACCTTTCTGACATCGATCATCAGCACCAACAGCAAAACCCTACATCGAAACACGACGACTATGCAACTACTAATAATAATCACTTCTTCTCCAGCTTCCCTTCCCCCTTCTTCGACGAGCATGAATTGCCTCTGAATCAAATATTACCTAAGAATCTTTTCACTAGCGGCAATCACACCGCCTTATCAGATCACCATCGTCAGATTTGCAAGGAAGCCACCAGAACATGGAAGCTGAAAGGAAAGGCTAAAGATATCAAGTCTGGCGGTGCATCATCGAGGCGGCGGAGCACGGCGGCCGCAATTCCGAGGAGGCGAGCCGGGAAGAAAGATAGGCACAGCAAGATTTCGACAGCTCAGGGGATTCGGGACAGGAGGATGAGATTGTCACTACAAGTGGCGCGCAAATTCTTCGATCTTCAGGATATGCTTGGATATGACAAGGCCAGCAAGACGATCGAGTGGCTGTTCGGTAAATCGAAGAAGGCAATCAGCAACCTCGTTAAAGACCACGATCCACAAGGGAACAGCAGTTCCTTGACCTTGAGCGATGCAAAGACTGAATCTTTAGTCTCATCATCAGAATGTGAGGTTGTGTCCGGAATCGATCAAGAAAATTCCAACATTGAGGCTGACAACGAAACTCCATTGAGTTCAAAAAGTTGTGTGAAAAATGAGAAGAAATCCCCCAAAAGCGTGTCGAAACCTAACTTGAGAGAATCGAGGGAGAAGGCTAGGGCAAGAGCACGGTGTAGGACAAGGGAGAAGATGATGAACAAAGGGGTTGGGGTTGAGCATTCCAGCCAATTGATCAAATCAAGCCCTAATCGCGATGATCTTCTGAAACTAGGGTCTGGAAACAACAACCCCTTCGAGGCTGCAGAATCGGGTTCGGTTAACCAGGAAAGCTTTGGGACTACTAATCATGATTACAACATTAACTCTTCAACATCGTTGGAACAAAATATGGCAGATGTGGGCACTATTGAGAAGTTGCTGGGGACATCAGCATCATCATCGACGTCTTGCCCTATGTTCTCTGATTACTATTGCCCTGCAGCTGTTTCATGCTGCATAGATCCCAACAGCAGTTTCATGGGGTTTCTTGGAAATTGGGATCTGCTGAACAATGATGGAGTCAACACAGTTACAGATCAGGTTTCTTTGCCAGGTAACCCAAATTCAGATTACTCACTTGATGACGCCCTAAGTTTTCCTTTCTATCATCACTGAGATCATAATTCTCCATCACATGTTGAAAATTCCTCAGATTATCTCATCTCAGGTATAGATCCATATATATATATGGTTTAAACTATGGTTCAGTTTGAGAACTTGGAATCCCTAGCTTTGATTGATGTATTTAGTTTCTATGTCATCATTTGCAGATCATAAATAAATATAAGGATTCTGTATCGTGGTTGTGTTCTTAATTCAAAATCTACCAATTAAGCTTCAATGGCCAACAACAACATAAATTTCTAGGTATGATCAGGATTATATTTCTTCTTGTGATGCTCAAGTTTAGTTAGTTACATTTTGTACATTCCTGAAACTAATTTATGAGCATGATTAAATATTGAGAGGATTGGTATGGAATGCTTATGTAGGTATTAATAGATTGCATGTTTGTTCCTTAATTCCTCTAGAAATCTATACTGTACTAAGGCATGGATCTAATGTAAGACCAGACATTTCTGGCTAGGACAGGCTAATTTATTCAAAGCCCGTCAGATAACATTTTTGTGAATTAGAATTAGATAGAGTAGTAAAATTTTATTCATCTTTCCTCTATATATGAAGATGATACAATATTTTAACAAAGTAAAGCTGGAAACCTTAAATAAGATCACAAAATTTTATCATGCATCTTTGCTTGGGAATTAATATGTTGTTCATGTCAGCTAAGAATCATCGACTGTAAACATCTAAACTCTGAAAATAAAATACCTGAACTGATGATATGATATGAAGCTCCTCCTCTGAGAGGTCTGATAATTGATCGGTTATTTCGCATGGCTGAATTCCGAATATAGCTCCACTCAGTCACTTGGTCTGCATACATTTGGGAGGAAAATTTAAACTGTATGAAGTTTGAATATGATAGCTTATATATATATATATATATATATATGTGCAGCAGCAATTTAATTCACTTATTATTGTGAACAACCATTGTGTGTAGCTGCATTTGTTATAGCACTAACTCATCATATTGGATTATTACCATTATAAATAGATTAGTTGCAGTAGGTGACCATACCTAATGAATAAGGTTTAAGAACAAAGGCTTTGCAATTGATTACAGAATTAAGAATGACTGCATCTATATATATGTTTATTTAAAATGTTCATTACTTCGATTTGATATACATGCTTTAATTTCGATTGTTTACTGCTTACATATTGCCCTGTTTAAAAATGATATTGAAATGTTAGTTATCAACAACCAAACTAGTGAGTGTTTAATTTGAAATAGTAACAGCACATTTGAAATTGGGATTTTTTTTTTGGCAATAGATATTATTACCATATATGTGCATGCAATTTCAGTGGCCTGTATATATGATTGGGGAAGACACCATGGCTGCCCTTAGCTATCTCTCTTAAGTCTTAAGTGAAGAAACCTATAAAGACCCAGGCTTTGCAAATGATAAATAAAAATGCAGTAAAATCAAGGTTTAATGTTTTTGTAGATGTAGCTACTTCATTACATTCATTGATGCTAAATATAAATTTTCGGCGTGCCGATAATGAGATAAATCTTATACAGCATTGATGTTTGGTGTATGTGAGCAAATTCAGCAGCTTTTAGAATCAATAACAGGTAGATTAGGACATCAATGCAGGGTTAAAAAACCTTACTGTTTAGATATGGATAATTGATGACACCAATGTGTTTGAAAATTGTTGGCGCCATGTATCTATCTATTTATTTATAATGTCATTAATTTTCAGCTTGCAGAATAAATCATCACTTCATTACGCCTCAAGGATTTAGTGTTTTTCAACTACATATATCTACTCGAACTAAATGAGGGCTTTGAATTGCATTCAATAATGGTTGGATATATGGGTTTTCTTTCAGTTGGTGTATTCTTGAATTCCTCATATTGGCTGGTAGGTTTTAATAATTTAGCATCTGCTTCTTGTTTGGAAGTGTTTATGATTAGTTTGCATATATAATCTTATAGGCAACAAAATGTGGTTAGGTTTCCAGGCAACAAGGTTGGAATTAATCTAATCAGAAACATCATCTGCAGTCAAATGCATATACCCAGAAGAAAATTAGTTGGTGCATATGATTCATTTTGTTTGCAACAAATGCAGTCAAATGATGGCAAAATGATTAGATCCACTTAAGGCTAATCAAGAAGAAAATGTAAGAAAGAAATAAGATGTAAAACTATCATTAATTAATAACCATGGATATACCCAGAAAATGCATGATTTTTCATGCCTGGACTTTATTACCTATGTGACGTAGTAAATAGTACAAATAGTGTTTGTTAGGTAAGATCAAGAACTATTCATTCAATCATTAAAAACTGGTTATTTCTTGATCAGGGGGAAATATTCCACATGATTCACAGACCCACTTCCTTCAAGGAAGCATTTTTATTTCATTAAGGATCATAAGCTCAGAGATTAAGCTAACCAAAAATTTTTTAGAAAGGGTTGAGAAATTAAAGAATAGAAAGAGTGCCAATTATATGCGTTGCTCCAGACCCTATTCTATATTGTCTGGAATTATCAGTGATGCTGCTGCTTACAATAATATATATATATATATATATACTTGTTGATGCAATTATATATGTATACGCATATGTATATGTTTTACATACCGACAAGGCAAATGAATACAGAGCATCTGTAAGAAAAGAAAACATGCAGAAGTTAGACGAATAAGTGGACCACTTAGATGTTGATGGCTTTGTTGTAAGGCATTTGACAGAGAACCAAAAATGATAAAGTAAAGCTGGAAGGGCAGACACAAGGGGACCAAATTAGAATATTGGTTAAAACAAAAGACAACAAACAAGGTTTGGAAACATGTATAGGCAATTGATTTATTGATCATATGTTTGCAGTAGCCCAGTGCAGAAAAAAAGATGATTTCATTCATTGACAATAATACAAAGTAAAAAGAAGGATCAAGAAATAATTAAGACACGAATTTAAGGAAAATTGAAGGAGATCGAGTATTATAACAGCCAACTTCATGGAATGTTAGAGAAAATTATGTGTGTGTGGGTAGTAAGAAGAAGAAGAAGAAAAAAACTGGAAATCCATATACAAAGGAAACACAGAAACAGAAGATTAAACAATTATTACATGGCAGAAATCAAATTACGAGCAGTACCTGAAATGATCAAATCAGTGACCTGTGTCAACAAACATACACAAATGGAGACTCCATTACCGGGATGTATAAGTATTCACCCTGCAAAAGAGGAGGGTTACATATCTTGCACGTATAAAAGGCTATATATATATATATATATATATAGATAGAGGGATGAATATATCCACACACACACACAGATATATATATATATATATATATTAGCACATGCATAAAAACTCTACTCAGAAGAAACGTATATATAAAATCCAACTCCTTAGATCCAGTGATTTGTCGCATATACATGTACAGCACATGCATGCACGCTTAGAAGAAAAAGAGAGCCCCCAAACTACTGTTGGTTTTACAACCATACAGTTTTTGAAAAATAATATATATAAACTAACTTATTGATAGAAATCTATTCAAGTCCAATGTATATAATTGCTATACCAACTACCAAGGGAATAAAGAGAAGCTTTGTGCTGTATAAATTACGTAATAAGGCATCCTATCTATATATTATAGTATATATATAGATATATAGCAGTAGCAATTAGTACTTGTTTATATATTGTACTTGATCTTGTGGGACAAAGTAACATACTACCATATTTCGATTCCTCAAGTTATGTAGTAGTATTTATAAAAATAAAAAAATAAAACAAGTACACCGGGAAACGATGAACACACGAAACACTGGTATGTAGGGTTGTTGCATCACAAAATTTGCATCCAGGATTAAGCTAATTAATTGATTAATCCTGGTATTCTCTGTAATATTTACACTTGAATCTTCTACTACATTTCATAATCATTCCCTAACAATAAATTACCCTGTCCTGTCCTGTCCTGTCCTGTAACTGGTTGAAATTCAACATTGAAACAGTTTCAAGTAGCCATTAATTTGTTGTATATATAGCAGTTGATGATGATAGTACGTTGGGTAGGGTGATGATGGAGATGGATATATACAGTGATCATTATATAATCGATGGTAGCCGTAGGGTGTCTGAGATTGGAGAAGAAGGTTGCGGCTTTCTTGTTGAAAAATGGGGCATTCTTCGTAGGGTTGGCACTGACAGACAGGTTGAGGAGGAACAGGAAATCTCTCTTTTGAGATCAGATCAGAAGAGGCAACAAAAGATACGTTCATGATTTTGCTTTTGTTTTTTTGTCCCCTAGCCAAATATCATCCATCACAACTAGTATTATTCAAGCAATATATATATACATATAGAGAGAGAGAGAGAGAGAGAGAGAGAGAGAGAGAGAGAAAGGGGGTGTGGCTCTACCTCTACATCATTCATTCTATTACTGTTCTTGTTCTTGCTTGAGTTGAATTGGGATCACCAGCCATATTTGTAATTGATTGCATCAGTTGAAGAACACAAAAAATACCCTCCTCATTGTCGTGTAATAGAATTGCAACAATCTCCTTCACTGCTAGAATACATTACAATACAGTAACTTTTCACTCATTGTCTCTTTGATCCAAACATAATTTGAGGGCTCACATATATATATACACAGATCAAAACACAATTTGAACAGTAGAGCATTCCATAACATGTATAGGTTGATAGTTTTCGACCAATTTTTGTTCATGGAGTATTAGATTCTGCTTTAGGCCCTGTTAAATTTTCCAGTAGTATTGGAAGTTCTAGCCCATTTTAATGGCTTAATTCCTCCTGTCAATAGTTTTGAAGCAGTGCCAGGACTTATCTTTCTCCTCTTTGCTTCGAGCTCCAATCTTTTGTCACATGAAGAAGTTGATGATCCAGAAAAGATGGAAGATGCATGAATGAGTGCTCTCTTGTCTTTCCTGTTCCTCTCAAATTTTGTCGCAAACTTAACACGCGAGGCAGCAGTTGTATCCTCTTCAGAGATTGGGAGAAGTCTTATCCCAAGTCCGGATTTCCTAGCATATGCCTCCTCTTCGGCTACTCTTTTCTTTTGATCCCTAAGCTTTGCCCTCAAAGATTTGTTCAATGAATAATCATCAGAATGCCGGGAATCAGAAATTCTCTGCAGTCGCACCAGTACTGGTTCTGCTTCCTTTTTCTTTTTCACATCTTCTTCCCGGTGCTCAAGCCGCTTAAAAGGATCCTCCAGCTTAGTTTTATCTACAACGGAGAAGGTTATGAATGAATAGCTTTACATTAACATACAACATTATGTGCATACTTGTAAAAACAGAGACAATGTTATTTGTACTTGTGTATGGATTAACGTAATGATGTTTACAAAGGATACTCACCTTCATCAATAGGAAGCAACATGGTTTCTGCATCTTCGGCATCGTACTCCTCAATCTTTTTTCGGGCACCTTTAATAATATGATACTCACAGTTTTGGGGATCTGTTTGAATAACAATCTCATGTCTGCAGCATGCTGATTTCATTGTAAAAGTCCATATCTGGACATAAATAATAAATACATGTTAAGAGCAGTAGTTTGATAATATGTATAAGTTTATCTCTATTGAAACAACAAAATACCTTTGTGGAGTAATAATTTCCCACTTGCTTTTTCTCTGCATTGAACCTCACACCCTTAGCAATCATTGACTCACAGCCACCACACCATATATTAAAAGGCATCTCAAACCTGCAAGATTAAAGCAAAAAATGAAATAAGCATTTACGAAGTAACATAACTCAAGATTCAAAGATGCACAGGCAAATGAAATAGTTGCATGTAGAAACACTTAAATTCATTTCAGGAAACATTTCCATAATAACCGGTGTATGATTGGGACAAATTATTTAATGACCTAATATGGTTCTATGGAACTTCAAAGTGAGGAAGACGTCCGGTAAGCAACATACAATTGACCACCAAATTCTTGTTCCATTTAATAAAAAATTTGCAAGCTGTTCAAAATTTGATGATCCAGAAAACCATAAACTGCAGCCAATCAGTACCTTATAATCAAGATTCCTTGATCTATTTTTTTAGCCCTCTCCCTCAGGGCATGTTGGCCATGAAACTTGTTCAACCCACCCTGTGAAATGATACAGCATAAGACTCTGCACCATATAATAGGTATTTTCATTAATAAACACAGTCTCTCACAAAGTCACAACATAAACATACCTTCTTTGGTTCCCATTCTGGGGGGTAGTAAAAGTTATCAGCCCTTGCAGCTGCAAGAGACGACTGCAGAAACCAAAATAGACACAGAGATTAGTGACACCAGAGCACGAATCTTCTCAAAGAAAACCAATTGGATTAATGCAAATAATGATATTTAATATACATGATTAAATAGTGCCATCATTATAAGGGTAATTAACCACCACACCCTCAAACAAATTTTACCTAGAATTCTAGAAATAAAAACTGGAACCGGCAGTTTCTCATCTCACTCATTATTACTGAAAATCGTTATGTGTTTGAGTCAATCCAGATCTCCCCCCCAAAAAGAAACTCCTCATCATAGAATCCTAATAATTATCATAAATTTCAGCCTACAAACAATTGCTAGAAATTCAGATCTCTACTTCACATCAATCTTTTCATGGCTCAGTTCATTTGCAAAACTCGACACATCAAACTCTGTAAATTTCTTGAAACTTTTTTACCAAGAAAGTATAAGAAAACCGCTTCTTTGTTTATATATCCTCAATAATTCGTGGCAGAAAGACAGAAAACAGGTTTGCTCAAAAGCCCAAACTCAAGCCCTAGGACAGCTAACTAAGATGGGGAATCTTACATCATAAGATTAAACGAGTTCCCCAAAATCTTTCAACATTCAATATCAGATAAATAGAAAGAACTTCAAATTCCAGAGAAAAGTATCGAGATAAAAACCATGAATTGAGCATTCCAATCCCGGATACCTACACAGCAATTATCCGAAAAAGCAACACATCAAACAAATTGCGTACCATTTTGAGATTTGCTTATCCGGCTGTAAGATCCGATAACTTCTGCCGAGGCTCCTTCCAGAAAACACGAAATCCCTCTGCCGGCGTCGCGCTGGAGGCGATGGGAGTTCCGACCCACAAATTTTCCAAGGACGATCGGGTTTTCTTTCTTGTTATTTATTGATCTTGGCACCCAAGTTTGATGAACCGACGTCGTTTAGAATAAGCTTGATTGACATGGTACTACTTAATTGGGCTGAAATTATTTTTAATATGGGCTTTTAATTTTGAATGAGCCCAAAAATTCTTTACTGGAGGCCCAATATAATACAACAGTAAGGTCCCGTTTGGATATCCTAAATTTCAAAGTCAATACATAAATGATTTCTTGATTTCTAAGGAACACTTGTGGGAAAACGAACCCCAACAATACCCACCCTTAATTCTCTCCTCCCACATAAAAACAAATAATTTTTATTATTATTTATTTATTATTATTATTATTTTTATTTTTTTCCATTAAGTAGCTCAAAAGTGTGTAATATGGAAGCAAACAAGAGCCAATTCAATCCAAGCTTCAACTAATTAATTACTACAAGACTATTTATTTGCTGTTTGTTAGCCCTTCAAGAATTCTTCAACCCTTCCTAACAAAACATGTTCTCTTCTCCCCTAACAAATTCATGATTCATCCTCCCATCAATCATGATCATCAAATTCCCTTTCCTAGTACAGATGTTCCTTTGCCTCTTTCTCATTCTTTTAATCTTTCATCATGAGTTTTACACCTTCAGAACCCACACAAGCATCCACATCATCAATCATCACCATTCTTTGATCACTCATAGAAAGGCATTGGCACTTGCAAGCGAGTTTGATCTTACCCCATTTATCATCAATAGCCGTCGCTTTGATCGTCATCATCCTCATTCTTCGGGTGTAAGAGATATTGATCCTCGTTATGGTGTCGAGAAGCGCCTTGTCCCGACGGGTCCGAACCCCTTGCACCACTAGATATCATGAAACCCTTTAAAGGGTATCGATGAATCTATCTTATATTGATCATATATAGTAAGTTGTAGGGATTCATTCATTCCTGATTTGATTATTTCAATTCCATCCCTTTAATCTGTGTATTATTATTGTTATTGTATGGTGAGAATGTAGCTTATTAAAGCTTGTATATATATATATATATATATATAGCAGACATGATTGGTATATGATTAATCTTTCATTCTTTGTCAAGTCCTATATGAGTTTACTTGGATTTTAAATTTTGATTTTATACGATTAATATACATTTGTCTAAAAAACATCAATCTAATAAAATGTTTGTCATTACATTGTCTTACATTGATGGATGATGTTTACTTCATGTGTCGAATCTACTTAATGCTCCATGCAGATTTTCTGTCAATGGAAATGAAATTCAGGTGAAATGAGTAGCTGGGAAGGCACGAAAAGGAGCAACAAACTAACACAAAAAATTATTAATTAATTATATTTATAATTATTAATCATTGTATAATTGGTTAAAAATTGAAATTAACTTAATATAAATCATTACTTGGTCCACAAATTATTTCTACAACATAAATACACAGGCCACTATCGAGGTGTCTTTTCTTGACCGACCCTCAATCAAAATGCTTCCACATCAATCAACCAAGTAAATAATTTTCAGGGATTATTTATTTATTTGTTTATTTATTTACTCCAAATTGAACTCCATAGATATAATTAATTGGTGGCAAGTTCAATTAATATATGTCATGAATCATGATGATACAAGTTCTTCCCCTGATATGTTCGATGTTTGATTAATTACACGCGTAGAAATATGCTTAATTGATGCAAACCTAGGTTTTATCGAATCCAAGAAATTAATTAGTAATATATCTCATTTCTGGACATTAAATCATATATGTACAAGTGAAACTGGTTATTATGTGGTAAATAATTTTTCCCATGAGATTTTGTGGTCCAAACTCACCTCTATTAATATTGGCCATGGGGGGACCTTTTTGGTTCACATGCTAAAAAAAGGAGATCTTTTTCCTGTTACACACAGCATTAGTACTACATGCAAAGAAAAATTAAAAATAAAAATTATAATAACAATAAGTTATGTGTGAGGGCATGAGAAATTAATACTGCGTTGTATGTAATGTAGGCATAGGAAGTAAAAGGACAGCGAAAATCCAAAAGGAAAATTAATGGCAATAAATGAAGAAGGCAGAATTGGGGGCAAGTGGAGAAAGGGACGACTCAGATGGTTTAGGGCTGGCAATAATAAGAAGATTACAGATTACAGACTGTACCCTACTCTCTCTCTCTCCCCCTCTCCCTCTCTCTCTCTCTAAAGTTACAGACCAGACCCTTATTTTTTTTATTTCTATCTCATCTCTATCTCTAGCTCCTTCATTGGATTTGGTCCCCCTCTCTACAACGTAGTATCTCATTCTAGGATGTCCAAAATGCCCCTATAATTAGATGTAGATCATCTTTCACTTGCTAGCTGTTGCTCCCCACAAAAATGGCATTCTGTTTCTCAAATCTTGTATTTATAAGCCACATGCCTTTCCACTTTCTACGTCCAAATCAAACTGTATGCATAGTAATGGTAATTGTATCGTTTGATGAACCTGGCTGGCTAAATTGAAGTGATCACTAGTGTCCTAATCTGAATCTGCTAACATATCTATGTCCTTTCGATCGATTACATAGTGGGGTGATCTACTGATCTCTAATGGTGGCGAGCACAAATCACCCACAGACAAAAACCAGCTTTGTCCTGCACCCATTTAAAACCCTTCATCTTCCCCAAGAACTGGTCCCCCGATCCATCCATTCTCCATCTCATTGCTCAGAACAGAACACAACAGAACCCTGCGTTTCAATTTATTTTTTGATTTGAAGAAATGATAAATCCAACCCTAAATTCCGAAATTGCTCGAGCATTAAAGATAAATTTTTGTTTGCGGTGTTACCGTTTTCCCACTATGTCAAACCCCATTCAATTTCTTCATTGCTGCTCTCTCTCTGCCCTGCATCTGCAACTGCAATCGATCTTCATTGATAAATGGATATCGTAGGTGTGCCCTTTTAACATTAGAGAGACTTCTTCTTTTGTTGACATTAGAATTGCTTTATAATGACTTTTTGGATTTCTTCTGCACTGATAACTATGCCCTCCCAAGCTTTTTAGCTGCCTGCAATGGCGCCCCCACCCACCCCACCTTCTTCTGCAGCAGCTACCTCTGCTCTGCTCCTCCGCAGTCTACACAGTACTGCACACTCTGCAATCCGTTAGTTCATTGACTGCTACTGCTGCTGCTACTTCTACCTTAGCCTTTGCTATAAACACCACCAAGATACAGCCTTTATGCTTGCGCATTTCTTCGCTATCTCGATCTTCGTTTCTTCCCTCTCTCTCTCTCTTGATTCCACTCTTATTTTACTGGAAGATTCAGATTTCTTGCTGGTAGTTATCCTGCAGCATCTTCTATATATATATATATATATATATATACACACACATAAGTAAAGCCCAGAAGGTGCAGCAATTAGAGATAGAAGAAACAGGAACAAACATGAAGTATTTGAGTTCTTGCATTCTTGGGGTTTTCTTTCTTAATGTAATGATTGCTCCACAATGCCGTGGACAAGATGGATCAGCAATGAGGAGAAGAGAACAAGAAGCTGTGTATTCTGCCATACAAGGGTTTGTGGGGAAATGGTGGAATGGTTCAGATCTTTACCCAGATCCTTGTGGTTGGACTCCAATTCAGGTGAGCTCAATCAAACCATCCATCATCAATAAACAATCCTCTTGCTAGTTTCTATGATACAGAGTTTTTTTTTTTTTTTATCCAGAATTGTTCATCTTCATCTTATCAGCTTGCTGCTGGTTCACGTGTGGTTTTGTTAGTTAAGAATTGCATTGCATTCTTCAATATTTCAAATCAATTGTCAAATCTGAAACACAAGTAGGGAGCTCTAGCTAAAGACCTGATTTCGCCATTTTGTTATGGACTAATACAGCCCCATCAATGCATCAATTTGTGGAAAGGGAATGCATAGTTTTCCAACTATAAACATTTGTCTTTTCTCTTCTTTTTGCATCATCATCACTTCACACTTCTCTTTACCCCATCGCTATAAGATTCCCATTTGCCATTTTTAGCTTTTTTACCTTCTCTGTGGACCATCGAGATTCTCAAGTAACTCTGCACCCAACCAAGATCTGTTCCTCATTTTAGTTCCAATGATTTTTCTCTTCTTTTACAGGGCGTTTCTTGTGATCTGATTGATGGGTTTTGGTATGTGACTGATCTGAGTATTGGACCTGTTCATGAAAACTCTCTCAGTTGTGCAATGGAGATTGAATTCAGCCCCGATTTGTTCTCATTAAGTCATCTTAAGTCCCTGTCTTTCTTCAGCTGCTTCCATCGCCGTCCTGTGAGGATCCCTACTCAGAACTGGGAGCTTCTTGCAGGGAGTTTGGAATCTTTAGAGTTTCGTTCGAATCCAGGGCTTACAGGGAGTGTCCCTGTAGCCTTTGGGGAGCTAAAAAATCTTCAGTCCCTAGTGCTTATGGATAACGGGCTTTCCGGCGAATTGCCGGAGGTCATCGGCAACTTGACAGCCCTGAAGAGATTAAACCTCGCCGGAAACTCATTTACCGGTGGAATCCCTGACAGCTATGGAAAGCTCGATCATCTCCTGATTCTTGATATCAGTAGGAATTCTCTGACAGGATTCTTGCCTGGAAGCTTTGGGTGCCTGAATTCACTGCTGAAGCTTGATTTGAGCAGCAATAAGTTGCAGGGGAGCATCCCTGACGAGCTTGGAAATTTGAAGAACCTAACATTAATGGATCTCAGCAACAACAGATTATCAGGTGGGCTGCCCAAATCGTTTCAAGAAATGAGTTCCCTCCAAGAATTGGTGGTGGCAAACAACCCCACAGGGGGAGACATTATGAGCATTGAATGGCAGAAGATGAGGGCCCTGTCTGCACTGGACCTGGCCAATACGAACCTGACTGGTGGCATCCCTGACGCCATTGCTGAGCTGAAAGGTCTGAGATTTTTGGGCCTCAACGACAACAACCTCACAGGCGAAATCTCCCCAAAGCTTGCGAATCTTCCCAACATCGCTTCGGTTTACATCCATGGCAACAATCTCACAGGGGAGCTTCGATTCTCAGAGGGGTTTTATTCCAAATTAGGGAGACGTTTTGGGGCCTGGGGGAATCCGAATCTCTGCCTCTCCAGTGCAGGAGAAATTATGCCTTTTGGGGTCAAATTATGCGATGAAATTCGACATTAACCTCAATTCCAGACAAAATTGCTTGGCAATTGGAATCCCCAATTATTGTTGCTAGATTAGGGTTCATAGTTGAACTGTTGTTGCTGCTTTTAGCTAAATCAAACAACAGCAACAATCAAATCCACACCCCACCTTGTCTGTTAGTTTGTCATCTGTATATATAATGCTAACGATCCTATCGAGGAAAGACGATAGATCAATTATCAATATCCACGGGAAATCAAGAAAATCTGTTGGAACCATGAATCTGATCATCTGTCGTGAATTTGTTTGGGCTCATTGATAAAAGCCCAATTACAGAAGAGCGGGCCGGGCCTATCCCTATAAAATTAAATAATTAATTAACTATGATGCAAGAATTCCCTCTATTTCAAAGTCTTGTGACACGACATCAAAGCAAGACTATTATCATCAACCAAATTCCCCTCTAAAATATTTAATAATCGAATGTTTAATGATTTTTTTTCTTGAAGAGTACATAATAATGAAAGTGAATTTTAAATAATATTATTTGGGAGATGAGTGGTCAAGATTTCCTGTAACTAGTTGACCTTGCTGATTAAAATACTCTCTCGTTATTGAATTATAGACATTTTTGCGTCCAACTTGTCTCACACATAGCTTACATTTTTATTTTTATTTTTTTGACACGTAGCTTACATTTCAAGCCTTAGATATGATTGTTTTATTTAAATATATATCCTAAATTAATTACAGTTATGTTTTTTTTTTTTTTCTTTTTAATCAATTAAAACAATAATTTAATACTGTATATGTTACCATCGATCGGTCAATGGATGTGTAATAAGAACAAAAATACTGTCACATCTAAATAGTTATATATTTGTAGAATAGAAGATATATTTTTACTTATTTTATTTTAGCTATACTCATTCTGTCTCCTATAATTATGCTATATATATATATTTTAACTGTGGATTTATTTTTGTAGAATTTATTTATAATAAACAATTTTATCTTTTCATAATTTTATTATTCTATTTTAGTAAGTAAAACCAAATTTTACTATTTTTTTCTATTTGTCTCACTACATTTTGATCAAATTTTAAATAAATTTTCTATATATCATCATTTTACTATTTATTTATATCAATTTTATATTAAAATTTATTATTTTAAATTTATGTGCCCACACAAAATACTTTCTTCGTCCGGCACTAAGGGTCACATTTACATTTTGCGTCATTGTAGTTAACATTGAAAAAATCCTTATATTTGTATAATTTTTTTTTTGTACAAATTTCCTTCTATTAGTATTATAAGACATTAATGAAAATATTTTTACAATTTTTTCTTAAGTTGTATTATGTTTTGATATAATAATTAATATTAAAAAATTAATATGAAAAAAATAAATGAGACTGTTAGAGCTGAACATAAGTAGTAGTATAATTAGCCTGAACAAATGAAACATTATTTATAAAGAAATTATTTTCAAAATCTAAGGATATATATGTATGTATATATTTCAAATTTTCTTTTATTTTTTAATAGTTAATTTCACATAAAATATATACGGTGTCAATGATAATAATTTCGGTAAAATACACAACATATAGTATAAGTACATACAACACATGAATTAGTTAACATAATATAAACATAGCACATAAATTGGCAGCTAATGATATAGAGATGAATAATACACTATATGAAGACATACAATATATTATATAAAAATAGACAACATATGAATTATATTAATATAATACAAATACATCACATAATATAATTTTTTGAGGCACCGGAGGACTAAAACAACGAAATTTTTTCACTTATAGGACTAGTTTGCGACAGGCTCCACTTACAGGACTAAAATGACAAGGGATGCAATTACGGGAATAATAAAACAGTTTACCCCATAAAAATATTACATATATGACAATACTCGATAAGTCTTGCGCAACATATACTTCAATTGATTTAAGTATATCAGTGACTAGAAAAATCAGCATGACTGATGTTTTAAATTTTGGTTTCAGTTTTTTATTTTTTTATTTTACTATAAAAATTAAAATCTAAAAGATTCAAAACACACAAGATTGTGGAGTAGTATTTTTCTGATCTCCTACAAGGAATCCAATTGTTTAATATTCAATATTCTGATAAGATCATGCAGAATAGAATAGAATCTTAACACGTAATTAATCAAGGCTGCTACTAATAGAAACTAATTAGTTGTTAAACAACCGGCCATATATAGTGAATATCTTTTGTAAGAAATAAACATAAGAATGAAAAAAAAATATATACATAGTTAGTAGCATACAGGAAATAATTGAAGGGTAGTTTATTAACTTTACTTAATTAATCAAAATTATATCATTGTCATAAAAGATTTTGGAGAATTAATCTCATAGTTTGCGCAACAACATCGAGCCAAGTCCCGGCACTTGTCCCAGCTCGAATCGAGCTAAAAAACCATTCGGGCCGGGCTAATTAGCTAGGTATTAGTTTGTTGTTTAATCCATGGATACATTAACCAATCCATGTCTTGGGTTTTGGCTATAATTAATTAGTGTAATGAAACATACATGCCATTAATTGAACTTTTACATTCTTGCAATAAATTCGTAACTCAAAATATTGAAATCAAATTACCTTTGCATATATAGATAAGTTCATGAACTGAAAACATACAATTAAATATCCAAAAACCACCAATAATACAAAAGAAGTCCATTGAATAATTTTCCGTTAGCTTGATATCTTAAAGTGGCTTCTCACGCAAAAGATTATTAATTCAAATTAAAATTTATTAGGTAGGTTCAATGTTGAATTTTAAATCCCTACTTATATATATATTCCCAATATTATTAATAATAAATTCCATGTATTCGTAGCTGAGCACGAAACATGGCCCCCAATATACAGCTAACTTAGAGCACCAATTACAGACAATCAATTAATTTTCAATTAATTGATTTACACATTGCTAAGTGTGTAATGACATATGGTAGCTTCGTAGAAGAATAAAATTAAAAAGGTTAAAAGGGGTTTACTTAATAATATATATATAACATTAACTAATTAATTAATTAATTATTGTTGAAAAGGTTAATTTTGTGGGTTGGCAGAGTATAAATTGATTGATGAAATTAAACGTATAGGGAGATGTCACCAGGTGTCGTTACACCATTCTTTCATCACACTAAATTCCAAAACAAATTTTACGTAGATAATCAATCCTATTATTTCTACAATATTTTTCGTACAAGAATTAATCACAAGAAAATCTTACGCACCAATTAATGTTTGACCTATCCGAAAAGCACAACATTAATTTTATGCATGAATGAATAATATTAATTAAGAGAAGAGGAAGAAGATGAATAATGTAAGAAAAAAAGGGATAGCCGGCAATCAATGGAATTATAAAATTCCACTATATATTCAGCAAACCGTTGACATTGAAATTTCAACACACCATTGCGTGTAAACAAATAAATATTTACTCAAAATGGATCTTTCGTTTTTCCATTTGTTAATCCCAAATCTTCACCTAATTTTTTTTTTTTTTTCCTTTCTTACTTATATATATATAATTTGTTCTCATGTATAAAAATCCCTCTAAGAAAAAAGCTCCACCAGAAACCCTAGTTAGATCGAAATAGATTATATGGCTTCTTCTTCTTCTTCTTCTTGGTTCTTGAAAACCCTAAAGGGTTTCTGCAAAATGGTTTTGATTGGAATTCTTGCAATGGATATGGTGAATAATAATATTATTTCTTGCACTGGGATTAGAGAGGTACGAATGGGGACGATGATCAAGAAGGATGATGCTTCTTTGAGGGCCTTGAAGTATTTTCAAGACAAGGATAAGTTCGGACATGGACTGTTCTTCACTAAGCTTCCGAAAGGCGTACCGATACCGCCTTCCGGTCCATCGTCGAGGCATAACTCTTTACCTCAGAATTGAACATGCTCACACAAGATAAGATACTATATATATATATATATATGTATGTGTATAGATGAATGTATATTGGTGCACTTGATTGTTGATTAGGACACAAAGGAACATCATACTATACTCCTTTGATTATTTTTGGTGGTCAATTATATTTATTATTATGTTGCTGTTCTTAATTCATTGTGTTGAGAGTAATGGGAAGACATGAAAAAGGGTATTCAAGGAAGCCATTGATGATTCTTTTAATTTGTTCCATAGCAAGCTTTAATTTTCTGGTAAGTCCTGTACAAGTTTATTTATTTATTTAATAAATTAATTAAGTATATCAAGATTTGGTTGTCATTACATTACAGCCCGTTTGATGATAGTGCCATTTGTAAACAGACACTTTTAATTTTTTTAATTTTCAGAGCCATCACCGATTAATATATAGTTTCCTCTATTTGCTGTGCATTTTTTCAGCCCAAATTGTTGGGCCATTAAATTTGATTGGTCAAATGATTTGGGCTAAGCCCACTAATTTTATCCCCATTTTCTTCGGCCCAATACAGTATATTTCTATTTGTAATTAATTAATTAAATAAACCACATCGTGCACATTTCCCAAATCATTTAATGATCAAAGATCCGGTCAAGATTTCACATAAGAAAACGATTGCAATAATAAGCGGAAGAAAAAGAAAGTGTCAATAGATAATGATCAGTGAATCATCTTCAAATCCCTTTTATAGCATTTTAGCCACCACAAGAAAAAAAAAAAAAAGAAAAAAAAAAAAGGGGGTCTCATTAAAAGAACAAACACATGATCATCTATCTATTTATCTATATATATAACACATATATTAGCCTCCAATTCCTAAATTTAATGAGAACCAAAACAAAAACAATCCCACCCTGAAAAATTGCAAGAAAATTAAAAAGAGAAGTACAAGTGGATGGATGGATGGTGTGTAAAGCAGCACTAAAACATTGCTGCCTAAAAAGAATAACCCAAAAAAAAAAAGAAAAAAGAGATATATATATATATGTATATGTGTGTGTGTGTGTGGTAAAAGAGAGATAAAAACAATAAAAAAGAATGCATCGGGAGTGATGGAAAAGCAACAAGACTAATTGACTGAAACAGTGTGTGTGTGTATGTATGTATGTGTGTATCCCAATAGACATATTTGCCAGTGCAGTGCCCAGCATCCTCTGCAGCCATTCTTTTTTTTTTTTATTAATAAATATTATTAATATTTTTCTTACAGCAGCAGCATGAATTCGAGTTCGACAATATGTTTCGAGTTTCCAGCCTGACAGACATCTGAACTGTGTCTTTCATGCAGAATTAATGTGTTACTATATATATATAACCAATATATAATAAGGTCTTGCTGCTTCTCTTTTTAATTTTTAACCTACCAACTCCATTGCACGATGCAGTAAAAAAAACAAGAAATTGTTCATCAAGAAGGTATACAGCTAATTAAGATGAATTATATACATATATCTATATATATATATATATATGTGGTCTGTCTATCTGTTTGTATGAAAATGACGTTGTATTAATAATTACCAATTCCTTTGTCTGCATTTCAGGAAGATGTTGGTATGTTCCAGAGATATCTAACAATATGTCATTTTCTGATCTGATTATTATATACATTTATATATATATTTATATACGTGTAGTAAGTAATTAAGCACGCGTATGGTGAAAATGGAAAGAATCTGTACAAGGATAAGATATACATACATGCAACAGATGTGCGATGGATCAGAGAGATAGAAAAGAAACAGTAATCTGCAGATCATAGTGGACATATATGGACCAGATCATCGATCGAAACAAGATTTCAATTCACATATGAATTCAATTCAAGCCACAATGAAAGGAACTGCTCATCAGGGTTTCTGGCCACGTGCATCATCTTCTCACTCTTTATCACAAAAACCCTATTTTCCTAATCATTGCTTACACTTAGTACTCTCACACTTAATTATATTCATTAATCTTAGGTTGTCCTAATCATGCCCTTTATGGGAGTGGTGTTGTTTTGTTTGATTGGTCCTAATCATTTTTATATGTTTTTAGGTTTGCAAGAATGACCATTCTTTTTATTGATCATCACCATCATCATCCTAATCTTATTTAAAATTGTTGAAAACACAGTAAAAAAACAAATCCTCGTCATTATTTATAACATTGGATGAGAATAAAGTGAATTGCTCAAAACTAAAGGAAATGCCAATAATAATAACAATGAAAGCTGCAGCATTGAGATGGATGCAATAAAGGCATTCATATTGTCAGACAGTAAAAAAGAAAAAGAAAAAAACATGGAAAGATCAAAATAGGCAGACAAGACAAATTACTACATTTGCCCTTAGGATTCATTAAAAAAGAAGAGAACTACATTTGCCCTTAGGATTCATTGAAAAAGAACAACAACAACAACAACAATAATTATAACATTACAACCAACCAACCAACCAACCTATTCACAAATATACCCCTTCTTCATTCCATCCAATCCCACCAAACCCCTTTGTTATCTTCTACAAGTTTTTCACTATCCCCCCCCTCTCTACCTCTCATACCCTATAACCCCTAATAATCAAATTCACATTTCAAAAATATATTGTACTAGTACAACTTAAATGGAGGCCCTCATCCTAATTAACCCCCAATTACAGTACCATAATTATATACTATAATTATTTAATTAATAGCTAGCTAGCTAACCATAAAAATGGATTAAAAATCCATTCTTGAAAATGGATAGATTTATAATAATCAGAATCTGAGCAAGTAAATGCTTAGCTCAGGGCCTCCATTATTCCCATCAGGGTTCATCATGTAAAAAGCCTCCGAATCCTTAGACCCGACAACCCGTTCGAACCTTGCCCGCATGTACATCATCTCCCCATTATCAGATCCACCGGGCACGGGTACGGGTACGGGCAGCACTCCTGCTCCCATGGAAATCGGGCCTATGGCGTTCAGCACCTTCCACTCATCAGGCCCGCACTCTCTCCGGGCCGCGTAGCCACACTTCTTGCCATTGCAGTACGTCCTCCACACGGGCTCTTCCAGAAGCCCGAGCCCGGCCCCCTTCTTCTCACCCTCACGACCTTTCTTCTTGTCGCATTCCAGGGCGATCCTGACCAGGCCCGAAGCCATCTCCTTCACCAGGACGCTCGTCGGCGTCGCCAGCTCCACCAGAAACGCCGGAGTCAGATTGAAACCCTCCTGGAACGCGAAACGGACGTGGCCGCGCCGGTTGCCGAAAAGCGTGCCCACCACTCGCGATCCCAGACCCGATGACGAGAACCGGGCCCTCCCCAGGGTCAGAGCTGAACGAAGCTTGGAAACGGCAATGGCGGAGAATTTCTTCCGAGAACTTATACTGTTCTGCTGCTGCTGATGTTTCGTTGTTGGTGCTGTCTTTTTGGGATCTTGATCTGAGGGCTTTGATCTTTCTTCGTCCATGGAGTCGGCGTCGTCTTCTTCGGAAAGCTTCTTCTTCCAGGGAAGGTATCTGCGGGAGAGAGAGAAAGTGTCGTGGGGGTTATGAGCCATGATTGTCTTCATCGTATTAGGGCCCAAATAAATAAATAAATAAATTAAAAGCGAACAAGGGAAGGAAGGAAGGAAGCTTGGGAATAAAATAAATTAGCTAGGAGTTAAAGAAGAGTGCTTTTTGTCTTGAGGAAGGTTGTGAGAAAAATAAAAAAGGAAAAACAGTAAGAAAGAAAGAAGCAAAGGTAGATTTGCAAATGGAATTGCAATTCCAATGTAAGAATTCAAATCTCCTCTCTGTCTCTGTGGCCGATTTTATACTGAGAATGGGTAGGAGAATGATGGTTCAGCCTGTCTGTGTCTATTATGTCTGTGTCTGTGTTTTTACAGTGTGGTGAATTTTGGTGGATGTTTCTACTGCCCTCTTGCTCTTTTTGTCAGAACTGGTCACTCACTCGACACCAGAATCCTGACAAAAGAAGCTGCTTCTGCTGCCCCACATTCACTCTAAATTAAACTGGTTTTAAAATTTAATCTTAACCAACCAACCATTTTCTAAGTACTGCAAATTTTTTAAAGAAAGAAAAAAGATTCCCTCTTCAATATATGCTTTCGCCACGTGGGATAAGCTTTGTTTTTGTAATAAAATTCGTACGAAGGACGAACATAAAGAACTGATCTTGACTCATATATCGTGATAGACTGCACTATATATTTTTAGAGAAGAACCTATTAAAATTCATAGTGTGTGCAAGGGGGGCAGGGTTTGAATAATTGAATTGTTTGAAAATGTATGTATGGTGGGGGTGGGGGTGGGGGTGGGGCTAATACTGGGTTAAGAGTGATCGCAGAAAGTCAAAAGGAGTGATCTACTATTTCATTGGAAACAGACTTGGGATTAGTGAAAACTGTCTAAAGCCACAAACACCAAAACCCTACTACCCACTAGACCAGATCAGTCTTTTCAACTCAATGAAGAACTACTGAGCAAGATCAAGAAAATGATGATGATGAACATATAAAAAAAAATATACTATATATAAAAATCTTGCATTACATTTCATTATATAGGGCAGCCCCCAATACAATACAATCATTACCTAAATTGTCTGAATTTCATAACCTAGGTACTAAAAATGATGTTGTGTAAGTCTGAACCTCTACTGCTTTCTTCGTATGCCTGTCAAATCACCTTTCACTTAAATTTTCGCAATTAATTACCAATCAGAAACCACACTTTAATCATCAAAGCCAAAACCTATAACTAATTATTACTCATAACAAATAACATCACAATCCAATTTATGTATATGCATATTCCATAACTCCACAATCCACCGTCGGATCGATCGCACTAGTCTGCCTTCGAACTCGATCCAACGGCCACGATCAGACCGACATTTATAGATGAAATTGATGTGCTACCAAAATATTAATCATTCAAGAAATTTATAGATAATGGACTTTGATCCATAATTTCAAATCAGGGCCTTAACACTGGGCCGTGGCCCATGTAAACTGAGCCCAATCCATTAAATTAATAACCCATCAACCATACAACACATTAGGGCTCATAAAATTATGCAGAAATATCATACTACCATTTGCCAAACATCAGATTAGACGTGACGATCAACTGGAAGTGGGAAGGGATTGAACCCGTCTCGAACTAGGGTTTCCAGCGGCCCGAAAAGTGGGCGCGGAAGGTTCATCCAGTCGTACCAATCCCAGCCCTCGCACTTATCGGGCTCCGGATTCTGCGGCACCTGCGCACTATCCGCCACCGACGCACGCATCAGCACTGCAACAATATGCAGGCCTGCGTTCACGACGGTGTTGGTCACACTCAATTGCTCAATTTCAGTAATATCCAGCCCCGTTTCCTCCTTCACCTCTCTCGACGCACACTCCTCAAAACTTTCCCCTAAATTCAAATCACAAAATCAACTAGCTAAGCATCTACAATCTACACTAACGAATTAACAATAGGTATATTATCATTCATTTTTTATGAATTGTGCGAAGGCTAACCGAACTCGAGGTGTCCTCCGGGCAACGCGAAGGTGTCGCGGCCGACGGGAGAGCGGCGACGCCCTAACAGCACCTTGCTTCCCTTCAGCAGAAACACCACCACTGCGACCTTCGGCCTCTGCAAATCCCCTGAATTCTCCATTTCCCGATCCCAATTAATTCCGTCGATTGATTTATTGGTAGCATTTTGATTTATAGTATTTGGGGATTTTTCAGTTTCAGAGGACAAGAAGATTAAAATAAGCAGCCTCCCGCCCTTGACTCCAATTTGATTGGTTGACGTGGCATTAAAAAACCTTTGGGCCCAAGCAACTTAATGGGCCTCCAAGAAATCAATTTTTGAAGGGTTCACTATATATTTAATTCCTAAGGTTTAATTCCTAAGGTCCAATAATAAATTTGGAATGATGAGTATAATTACAGCTGTCATGTACCAAAAGAAATTCATATGCTGAACAATAAATAAAAAATTAGGTTCTGTGTAGATAAAGACTTTCGAAAAATTTTTGAGAATAGTAAAAAATTAATATTTTATATAATATTTTGTAAGAAAAAAAAATTAAATTTTGTGATTTTTTTTTCAAAATTAAATAGTACAAAAATTTCAAAAAAAATATAATATAGACAGAGCCTAATAATTATGATTGAGATAATTTTATAAACAATTATGAAATTAAAAGGTACTGTCTTGCCTTAGTCTCACATAGTTTGCAATATTTCTATTTTGATATGTTATATATATTTATATTTTTCTCTTTTATTACATCACATAACTTTCACTTTATTTTACTTATTTAATTTTTTATAACGTGAAAATTTGCAAATGCTATTTTATGGGTAAATATTTGGCCGAACCTAATTCCCAATTAAATTTTGCTGTTTCTTATATGGGACAAAGTGAGTGCTATTTCTTATATGGGACAAAATGAGTGCTATTATTGAATGTATATATACATATATTTAGGACTTGTTTGACAAGCTAGGATTAGGACACGGACAAAACGAATAGATTAAAGTTCATGCTTGTGCACGAACAGCCGCATTAATTATATATGCAATAAAGTTGGCATACATGCACAAATATTACATACATGCTTGAGCTGTAGAAATAGACTACCACTCCCATCTACCTTTATTAAATTTCACAATAACAATAACAATAACAATAACAATAATAATAATAATAATAATAATAATGATAAAAAGTCAAAAAGGCAGCTAGAGTATTATAAAATCCTAAAACTCATATAATGTTTATCTCTATTTTCAAATATATTTTAGATTGACCTTTTCTTTTAATATAAAGTAAAACTCAAAGAAATACTAATTTTCGTATTCTATTATAGGATTTATACTATAAAGATATAATAATATAAAAACAAGAATATACATGTTTTCCATTTATGGCAAGCCAAATGCAAATAAACTACAGTGTCCCATGGGCATGGGCTGCCACGTGCCCTCCAAATGGTCATTGCTTTCTTGCATGCACATATCTATCGTCCCTTTTTCATGGCTCATCTCATCTTTCTAAAAAAATAAAGTTGTGGAGATTTTTGCCTTCATGACACCTCACCCTTCATCATTCATGTGCTTTAATATTTATTTTCATTATATATATATATATATAAATCAAAATACTTTGGAGAATTCAAAACTTGGCCACTAGCCATGTTTGTGGTGGAAGAATTCATCCAACTGTCGAACAGCAGCGAGGATCGAATTAATTACGTCACCATGCAATATTGGATTCAAATAATATATATATATATATATATATATGATACTTACTATCCTGAAACGACGACGTTTGAGATTGAGACAAAGTTATAAATAGCTTAATTAATATATATACTATTTTCGTCAAGTTCTAAGAATCTAATTTATTCTTTACTTCTTGATCTTTGAATATTAATTATTACTCCATCCGTTTCAATACAATAATTTTTTTTACTATTTTTGTTCGTTCCAAAATAATAGTCTTATTTCCATAAATAATCATATCACCATAAAACTACCTCCAACTTTTTCATTTTTATTACACAATTACCACTACTTTTAACACTAATACACTCAAAAGGGCAAAAAAGTCTTTTATCCACATTTTTTATCCACTAACGGAGCGAGTATATCAAAATGTAGTATAAATAAAGAAAAAATTTCAAAAATACTTCTATCAGTGTCTTATAATACTAAAAAAAAAATATTTTTACAAAACATTATATAAATAGAAGGATATTTTCAATGATAAATACAAAAATATATATATATATATATTGGATGAATGGTCGACAGTTATTGGTGTGTTCTTACCAAAGTAGTTTGCATCTTAATTGCCCTAAGAGTACCAAACAAATGCGTGGTTTCGTGTACGTTTTTTATATTTGGTTTTCTTTTTACCAACAATTTAATTATTTTGTCGACCAATTAATAATTATTGAACTATGTATGAAATTGAAAATTAAATATTGAATGATAGTATTTATATATTGAATATGGTTCTAGCTAACAGTTGTGATTCAGATAAAGTAAATTAAATATTTCAAATTAATAGCAAAACATGGCAGTGAACCCAAAACAAAAAATAATATTGGATTATTTTGAACCAATTACCTTGTGCCTTATTTGGTTGTATAAAAATGCTTTTTTAACAAGTTTTAGTGCATGTACGCCATACCCATTATGATTATTATTATTATTATTATTATTATTATTATTATTATTATTATTATTATTATTATTATTATTATTATTATTATTATTATTAAAATATATATATATATATGTGTGTGTGTCACCATCTTATCTACGTGTGTAAAGCTACAAATTAAGAATAATTAAACATAAACTTAAGACATACATGTATAATATTTATTATCTAGACCAATTTCTTTTCATCGTAATAATTTTTCTAATAATCACGACACCATGCATGAAATGAATGATTGATAAATGATAAGCCATTAAAATCCGGAAATGTTGCACCATAAGTCTACCTTCTACTGTATGTGTGGCTGTTTTGTAAATTTTGTTTTTATTTACTATTATTTTACAAATAAATTATAATTGATGTAACGTTTTGTATAAAAAATAAATATAGTTTATGAGTTTGAAGAACCATATAGTAAACTAATTGTTTGGGAGTTTGAATTTTTTGTTTGGGTTTTCAATTATAAAATTTTTAATTGAAAATAATTATTTGATGCGATATAAATTAATAGACGTTGAGACAATGTTTTTAATGTAAATTTAATTGTTAATACATTATAAAAAAAATATTTAATTTGATTTTTTTTTGGAGGAATAATGTAAATTTTCCAAAAAATTTAATACTCATTATAATAAAATAAATTATATAAAAATTAAATCTTACATTATCGATAAACTCGAAATTAAAGCTACTTTTGCTTTAGTTTGTTGCGTCAGAAAGGGAGATTTACAAATTGCATGTGTTGACCTAAGGTATACAAATAATAGTAATAATAGTCACACATTCTGCTTGTCAATTACTATTCAATAAATATTATTTTTAAATTGGAAGCAAAACTTTTACATTTTTTATGTATTTGTTTATTATTTATGGTTTCAAGTGATTTTGCAGTGAGTTATTCAGGACTGTAAAGTTATTACAGGAAATGGTGTTTTTTTATTTTTTGTTGAAATTCATATATATTTTTTGTTGATTTTATTATTATGTGAATATATATATTGTAATTTTTAGAACCATGATATCTAAGAAAATTAAGTGAACGCACTCTTACATGTAAGGTTTGATTTTAAATATTGATTTGAATGTATTACTATATTTATTTAAATAGTATAGTCTTATATACTTCAAATACAATATAAATGGGTTTGTTTTGTTCTAGTATTTTTATTTGAGGTATATTTTTTTATATATATAAATATAGAGAGTTGTGTAGATAACTAAAAATAACATTCCCTCCGTCCACAAACTAACCTCCTACTTTCTTATTTGGAATGTTCAACAATTATTGTCCTCTTTCTATTTTTATATACAAAATTTACTCTTTTACTTTTACTTTATTTACTCTTTCATTTTCTATACACAAGATTAAAGACAAATTTATCATTTTATAACAAAAACCCTAATTGCCTAAAAATGCGTGTAAATATCAAATAGAACATTAGAAAATGAACGGAGAGAGTATTTCATAATAGACATTGATTTTTCGGGAGGTCGATAAAATATATACATTATATATATTGAAATTGTGTCAAAAAATAAATTGTTAAAAGAACAAATCCTGTGATTTCAATTGCTAGAATACTTTTGAAATTTCTGACATTATTTATCAAATATATATATTTTTAAAATATCGTATTAAATATTTTTTTCCTCTACAGAAAATATCACATTAAATATCTAATTTTTAATTATTTTTCTTTTATACTTCAAAACTTGTTCCTATGTTATTTTAATTTTGATTTTTTTTTCACTACCTCCAAATTTGATGCGTGCATGTGTTTTCTATGTTAAATTGGAATATATATATATATATATATGTGACAAAAGAAAAACATCACATCATATTATATCAATATATAAAAATAATTGTCCGATAAGAATGGTCTAATGGTGTAGAGGTTGAATTTGTCATCACGAGATCATTGATTCAAACCCCTGAAATTGGACGTTCCCTCTTAGATGGAAGAGTATAATTTAATAACTGTGCTATTATTAGAATCTCACTTCAAATTTAAAATTGAATTATTATTCAAAAAATTTAAATAGTTTATTTAAAATTTAAAATGCCACCAATAATTAAAATTAAAATTCAATTAAAATAATTAATTTATATTTTAAAAATATAAATATATAATAATAATATATTACTATTATATTTAATAAATTTAAATTTTTTAATTTATATATTATCGCACCAATCAATTTTTTCTAGATCCACCCCGGGTACCTCTCCAACTTTCAATAATTGTATATATATATATATATGTACAGATGTGAGATGTGCGTCCAGCAGCACAATATTCTTTTTCTCCATGGAATCAGATTTAGACACATACAAACCCTATCTGGGAATCAGCACTTCCACTTTATTTTTATTTTATTTTATACCAAAAGCATTTTTCATATATCATACTATATGCAAAATATCAATATATATATATATTCATTTTTTGGCAACCAAAAAGATAAATATTATTCTGAACATTCCTGAATGAAGAGGAAAAAATGGTGATCAAGTTTATATATGTATATATAGTTTTTAAAAAATTATTATATAAGTTTATAGAATTTAATAAATTAAATTTGGTCAACCTGAGTATGAAACATTATAAATAAAATTAATAGTTTGATCATATATATATATTATAAAAATAAACTATAAATAATTACAAATCTTATTGTAAATATATATAATAAAATATTTAAAATTGTGAATTCCACCTTGGCAACGTTATCAAATAAAAGGTACTACTGTAATCATCAGGTGGATCGTGGCAAAACATATGATGTTAAAGAAGGTATAATTAAGGAATCCACCTTTAATTACAGTATTAATTATTGCTTAATTTGATTCATATATACATATTATAGTATATTTTTATCATATTTGATCCATTCATGTAATTAACAGTAACAAATAATAACACTGTTTTTATGATCACATTAAAAGTAATTAGCAGCCCAATTAAGAATATCATGTCTTACACGCAAACCTGCCTTTTTGTGTGCATGCAGCTGGCACTATCTATCTATCTATCTATCTATCTATATATATATTATAGTAGTAATTCTTTAGATTCTTTGAAACAATAATTAATTAATGCGTTATCATCACTGAATATCTTTGGATCGATTCTGTAAAATATCTATCTTTCTTAACACCTTAAAATACCCACATATTAATTTACCATTCTTCTGTTTTAATTCAAAGTTATCATATTATACATATATGTATGTGTAAAAGCTAAAAATATATGTGTACATATATATCAAAACCTGTCACATTATTGATCAAAATTAGATAAAAAAAAAAAAAGTAAAAAAAGTGACACACAGAGAGACATGTACATGCATGCATGTTAGAAAAAGGGGTTTGAATTTAATTAATTTAGTTATATATATATATATATATATATTTATAATTGGCATAGTGTTGACGCAAGAGTCATCACTGACCACATTAATTAATTAAAACACAATCCATTTTCTCGTGTGCTGTTTCTCACTTTTATAGGTCACAGTCCGCTTACATTAGCCTTTTTCCTTCACCTCTGCATGTGATCTTTTTCCTCTTTATATAACTAACAACCTATTTTAAATTGGTCCCATTCTTACACCGATTATCGATTGCCATTACAATACCAATTCTCATCAATCGAAGATTGTATTAATTCTTTGATCAATCAAGAATTTCTACAAATTAATCAAATCAAACTGAACTAAAAATGATGCCTCCTGAGCAAGAAAACCCCAAAGGATCTTCTGCAACAGCTGAAACCATTTCCATACAGATTGAAATGGCAGCTGCGTCGTCCAGCAATGTCAGCCCCTGTCCTGCTCCTGCTCATCATCATAACAACGATCATTCCTCTCTCTTTAACTTTTCCGACCTTCTGCGCGAATCCCTTCATCCTCTCGTTCTTCAGGTACGTAGATGACGATGATGGTTTAATTTATTAGATTAGGTCAATGTTGAAATTAATTAATTAATGCATTTTGCAGTTTGACGACGTGGAATACGCCGTTAAGTTACAGAGCAGACGGGGAGTTTGCTGTCCGTCGTCTCGGTCGAAGGTCACACGCACCATACTTAATGGCGTTAGCGGCGCCGTTAAACCTGGTGAGCTCTTGGCAATGCTTGGCCCGTCAGGGAGTGGGAAGACGACTCTGCTAACAGCTTTCGCCGGAAGGCTGCCGGGGAAGATCTCCGGCACGATCACGTACAATGGCCAGGGCTTCTCCAGCTCCATCAAACGCCGGATCGGATTCGTCACTCAGGACGACGTCCTCTACCCGCACCTCACCGTTCTGGAAACCCTAAAATACGCCGCCCTTCTGAAACTCCCGAGCAAGCTCACAGCCCGGGAGAAAATGGAGCAGGCGGAGATGATCGTCCAGGAGCTCGGCCTGACGAGGTGCCGGAACAACATCATCGGGGGGCCATTGCTGAGGGGGCTTTCCGGCGGGGAGAGGAAGCGGGTCAGCATCGGGCAGGAAATGCTGGTGAATCCCAGCCTGTTGTTGTTGGACGAGCCGACTTCGGGGCTCGACTCCACCACGGCGCAGAGAATCATGGGGACGCTGCGCCGCCTGTCTCGCGGAGGCCGGGCGGTGGCTGCCACCGTGCATCAGCCGTCGAGTAGGCTGTTCAGGATGTTCGACAAGGTGATTGTGCTGTCTGAAGGGTGTTCTATATACAGTGGGCCTGCCAATTCTGCCATCGATTATTTTGCTTCCATTGGCTATTCTCCAGGGTTTAATTTCATGAATCCAGCTGATTTTCTCCTCGATCTCGCAAATGGTATGGAATAATCAATTTATCCATTTGATTGTTTAAAAATTTAACCCTAAAATTAATGTTTGAATGATATCCAGGTGTGCCCCCTGATTCAAGACAGGATGATGAAGCAGATTTCCATGGAAGACTGGACCTTCACGATGATCAAAACTCAACCAAACAGTTCCTAATCCAGAGCTATAAAAAGAACTTACATCCTCTTCTCAAGCAAGAACTTACATACCATATTCGAAAAGCTTCACTATCAAGAAGTAAGTGTATGCTCTGCTTTTATTTTCTTTTTTTATCGAAAAATCGAATTTCATGTTCTATATGTTCATCCCTTCAGGTTCAGATCAAACTCCATGGACAAACAACTGGTGGTTCCAATTCAAGGTACTGCTAAGCCGCGGCCTAAAAGAGCGAAAGCACGAATCTTACTCCGGTTTAAGAATCTTCCAAGTGATGTCTGTTTCAGTTCTTTCAGGGCTGCTATGGTGGCATTCTGATGCTAATCACATCCAGGATCAGGTGGGGCTGCTCTTCTTCTTCTCCATATTTTGGGGCTTCTTCCCTCTCTTCAACGCCATATTCGTGTTCCCTCAAGAGCGCGTCATGCTCACCAAAGAACGCTCCTCGGGGATGTATCGCCTATCATCGTACTACTTTGCAAGAACCGTAGGTGACTTGCCGATGGAGCTCGTCCTCCCGACCATATTCGTCACAATTACGTATTGGATGGGGGGCCTGAGGCCTTCCTTCATCACTTTTGTCCTAACTCTCTTGATCGTCCTTCTCAACGTGCTCGTTGCCCAGGGGGTCGGGTTGGCCCTCGGGGCTGTACTAATGGATGTAAAGCCGGCAACGACGCTGTCATCGGTAGTGATGCTGGTTTTTTTGCTAGCTAGCGGTTACTACATTCAGCACATTCCCCCGTTCATCGACTGGCTCAAGTATGTGTCGTTTAGTCACTACTGCTATAAGCTTCTTGTCGCGGTGCAGTACTCGGAGAATGAAGTTTACGACTGCGGATTAGGATTCGGATGCAGTAGAGTTATGGAGTTTCCCGCCATAAAGTACCTTGACATCGATCATTTGGAGTTCGACGTCGCTGCTTTAGTGATAATGCTCGTTGGGTACCGACTCTTGGCTTACGTCGCTTTGAGGATCGCGCAACAGAGATGAGGAAGAAGAAAGAAGAAAGAAATACATACATCTAAATTTGAAGAAACTGATCTTTATAATTAAGATGAATGTCTCTGAAGAACAGAGCATAACTTATTGTTTGTGTAGAATTTATGCAAAATCCCATTTAGAACCGCATTGGTGTGGGAGGAATAAAAATCTTATAATTAGCTTCATGTCTGCTTGCTAATTTTGGTTCAGACATTTCATCGAATAGCTTTCTAGCAACTTTCAGTCGTGTTAGAACAACTTGCAATTTGGCTGCTCTTTATGATCAATCTTGCTCATCCACTTCATGGAAAGGAAGTGGCACTGTCTTAACAGCCCGGAATTTGTCGGCATTGTTAAGATGCTCGTTCTCCAGCCTGTTCAAATCGTCGAGCAAAGAAGTTTTAAAAAAAATAAAATTGAGGGGATGAAGGAGATATGAATAATCCAAATCCTGAATCTGTTTGTTTGTTTACCTGTAAAAATTCCATTGCCCCCTTCTAACAACCTCAAGAGCTGCTAAGAACACCATGGTTACTCTGTAATCAACTTTCTCAAACTTAAAATGGAACACAGTTTGCAGCCAAGCAAGTCTGAGTATAAGATTCAATCCCTGCATGCAGACATGGTTTGAACTGGATTTATCACATCCTAAACTTTTTGTCGAAATTAAAAGGGAATTATAACCACATCTAAGTCTACATACCATGGAGACAAAGTATATGAACTTATGTCGAAGCATTAGTTCGTCTCTTAGCAACCGATTTTTCGAGCGCAGCCGTAGCAAGCCCCAGTCCTTAACAAAGTCCCAATACAGTTGGTACATTGTCGCCACACTCGACATAACTACGACTAAGTAAAGCCATCCGCTGCCCCGTTCCCTATCGTACGCCACTTTGGCTCCTGCGGCGAGCATTGCCGACACATATTTGCCGAGGTTTGTTAAATGGCTCGTATCCCCTTCGTCGAACCATCGTCTAGCACACTAAAAAAATATATATAGTAAGAGTTATAAACATTCTTCGATAAAAATTCTTGGATCGAATTGCACTGGCTAGTAAACCTGCATGGCTCGCCAATAGTACGGTAAGAAGGAAACCGCGTAAGCGAGGTCTCGGTAGTAAGTTGTACTCATGCAGTATTGATAGTCCTCTGTTTTGTAGCTTCCGGTTATGAAGTAGCACGCGACATACTCCATTTCTCGGAGCATTGGCACCTGGTCGACGAGAGACTATTAGTAAGAAATCGCGATGAGCAGAAAAATTTCGATAGAGTTTACCTGGCTACAGAGCTGATCAGCCATGAAAAAGTCGAGCATTACAACCTTGTACAGGGGGGCTAAGATGATGTTTCTTATTACAGAAAGGAACCGGTAACGGCTCGACTTGTAGATGATGTTGAAGGGGCAAACTAGGACTACAACGAAACTCTGCAAAAATGTTAGTATAAGTATAAGAAAGTATCGATCTTTTCTGCAAAGTTGCGATCATGATCGAGAAATGTAGTACTAGGAGAAGAAAGCCGGGAATGGCTTGGGCGCGGGCGAAAGAGAATCCTTTAGCGACGAGGGTGAGATGAATGAACAAAACTCCGATTACAGCGACCATTGAAGTGGCGCAGATCAAGAACACGTCGCCCTGCTTCAGCTCTTCGCTTGGCGACAGTTCGAAGATGAAGCTGTAATTGATCTCGACCTTTCGCCACATTACGATGTTGCATCCGTAGAGGAACAAGTGTAGGAATATCAAGCTGAACATGCTGCAAGATTCGATTCTTTCATGAATATCAGCTCTTACATTACATGAATTATAGATCAGAATGTAAGAACTTGCCTGAGGACAGGGAACACTGTTTCCATGTACATTACATCTGATTCAGCTCTATACGTCCCGGTAATGCCTGCCATGATCGAATATCCAACGAGCAGCGCGAGAAAACAGCCCGTGAATAGGCCTGTTTGTCGAAAAGATTAAGCATTGTTGTCACTACCATATTTAGGAGAGCTTCTTTGTGACCAAAAAGTATGATAAATGGCTTTTCTAAAAGGGCTTTCTTTATTAGACCATTTTTGCTTTTGAACTTTGTCACTCACCGGTGAAAAAGATCGCGGCGTGCGACTCTTTCTTCGTAGCCGGTTTGAGGTACTTCATGGCCTTCCTTCTGTCATTCTCCGAAAAACTCTTAACAAAAAGCTCCTCGACTTCGTCTGATATCTTTAAAACCTATCGATCGATGAAACTTGTTAGGCTTTCAACATAGTTGTGGGGCAATGTATCAATCATCGATTTATTACCTTGTTGGAGGTGTTGAAATACGATCTCTCGACAACTCCTAAGTAAACGGGAAGTACTTGTTTGCTCGTCGCCTGCAAATACACACACACGGTTGTTGGTTGTCGTCGTGGTTTATAGAAACTCAAAACAAGCCATTTCTTTTGCGATTCATACTTACTTTTTCGAACTTCTTCAAGATCTTTGCGAAAGCAAGCATGTTCAAATTCCTAGCAGAGTTTAAGAAACAACAGATTATGTTTCTTCCCATTACCATTACTCATTAGTTCGGATCTGCTGTCCGAAAAAACTTCACCTGTAATTTTCTAGGTGTCCTAGTCCTTTGTAAAGCTCTACAAACGCTCCCCGGATCATTTTCTCGGCGCAATGCAGCATCCTTCTATCGATGCGCAGATTATTTCCATCGGGATCACACTTAATGGATGTCTGAATTCCCAGCTCATCGCGGAGCACGTAAGAAATAGCTGAGAATGCGCGACATGGATTCGTTATAGCAAACTGTAATGAAACAGTAATGTCGAGATAAAGTGAATCAAGATTTCATTGCGCTTCACCCTCAGAAGAAGTTCCTCGACCTTCATCTTTGAGCAATAAAAGAATCTCGAGCTGCCTCTTCAGCGCGTCGCCCCTCTCGACAAACTCCTTCTCCTTTGTTCTGTAGAATCGGTTAACTTTGTTCAACTGAAAATCCAAATGCGCGAAGAACTCCACAACGCCCTCCGAGGCTGCGAGGCTCCCCTGCATCTCAGTCTCGTAGAATTCTCCTTCGCAGAACCTACGATGAACCTGAAACCAGCCACGGCACGCGCTGTTAACGTAGTGTAAAATTATTACAACATGATCGAAATAAGGAGTTCTTACATCAATGATAGCATGCTCTCTCTTTCTTCTCCATTTCCTTAAACTCCACAAAACTCTGTCATTAAAGGGCTTGTTCTCGGCATCTTCGCCGTGGATGATCATCTTTTTCAGGTCCTTCTTCAGCTGGCCATAGTCGACGAATGCCTCCTTCCATTCCGGAACCATTTGCCGCTCGAACCGCTTCGAGAACTTCACCATCTTCGATTCGATTCGACAGCTAAAAACAAAACATTATATATACATACATACATACATTATATGATCCTCTGTATCTTTGCAGCCATGAAAATACATAGAAGAAGGTTTGATTTAATTTGCAGGAGAGAAACACAAAAACTTAAGCAGAGGAGCTTCCTGTAAGAGATGAGTATAAAAAGGGGCGAAAAGGAGCCGTTACTTGCTAAAGTGGATTACTTCTCCACGAAATTGATTGTGCCTAAATAATCAATTGTAATTAAATTTTTATTGTTGTTAGTAGTCTTTCTTCTTCTTTTTTTTTTTTCTTTTGTTAAAAGGGTTTGCAATAATTTGCCTCTCTTTGTGCAAATAATTTGAGTAAAGACAACAATTTAAAAGTGCACCTTAAGAACAACAAACTTTGATGGCTGCTTTTTTCTTTTGAATGTTATCATTTGAGTAATTCATTGCAATCACATGTACATGCCTGTGTATGTATATATAGAATAAACATATTTATGTAATTTGACAACTTATTATTACCGGTGATTCTTGGTGGCTGTGCGGTCTAATGTTAACTTAAAAAAAAAAAGGATTGTTACATTATTTTTATTCTAATTCACAATTCTATTTTTTAGTCCAAAAATAATATTTTTTGAATATTTCACTTTATATATTATTTTAAATTATTTTTTATATCTACAACCTCCTATGCCTCTAGATCCATCTCGCATGTTCGCCTAATATGACTTGTATTGTCAGGTCTAATTTATAGAATATTAGGTTCGACTGAAAGTCTATCCAATCAACATAAAGTAGCAGCGGCAGATTTTTACTTTATAAAAAAAGTTAATAGTATTATCTTTTAAAAAAATAAAAAATAAATAAAATAATTAATACACAAAAATTAAAAAAAAAATCAAGAAAAGAAAAGGCTAAGAACCACAACTCTAAAAATAATGTTGCTACGGTGAAACACCAAAATAGTATCGCGTTGTAGCATTTTCACCGAATACGGAATGGACTAAAAGAATTCATCTCCATTTTATCCACCGAACTCCGCATTTGGAGTGCCGTTGGAGTTGCCCTGACTCATTCATGGTTCTATAATGACAAGAGTTGCAATATTAGTGATGCCAACAGATGTAATATATATGTGGAAATATGACAATGATATATCTCTAATTAATTAACTTCAAAATTAGGGAGATTAATTAATAGTAATTAATTTTTGTACCCTTTTAAGGACATATATAGGGTATAGGTACGTACGTAGTTTATGATAGATCCGGACGTGATTCTTTGTATGATTGTTACGATTACTGGCAACCTTTTTGTAGATATGTATATCTATTATTCCCCAAAAAATACAGTAATTATTAATTAATTAATTAATAAAGGAGAAGGAATAAGTATCGATGCAAGGAATTTAAGCAATTAATGACACGTAATGCAGAATGAAAATCCGACTAGGAAGTCATATTTGACTTTCCACCGGTGCGCTTACGTCACCTACTCTACCCTACCCTACCCCACCCTCCACATTCATACATAGTACTAGTACTAGTATAATATTATTACACGAAATTCTTCTTATTATTATTATTCAGAATTAATTAGTTAGGCATATATAAAACGGTGCACACCATAAGCTAGCTGCTCGATTAATTAATTTGGTAATAATCTTGAGCATTATTGGGAAATGTTAGATATGATTTTGGGCACGGAACTAACCAAGTTGTTACAGGGTTGACCGGACCTTCGGTGTCAGAAAGTCTAAGCTCGTGACTTTATGATTACAAATTCACTCCACTCTACCAAATTATTATTTTTGAGATTATTTATTATGTAATTTTCGAATATATACTATTGTTTAGCATCATGCCTTTATTGTTGGTATATAACACGGATTAATGATTAAGAATATAATATATATCCTAGATTCTATATTTGCAGAATTTTTCTTATTAAACTCTCTAAATAAGTCTTTTTTTAGCTATTGTAAAAGTATATATATATATATATATAAAGATAAAATTGTATTTGATTTATTCATTTTTAGTACTTTTTAAAAGTTTTTATTACTATGTATATTTTAATTATGTGTTAAAATATTAACTTGAACTAATTACTCTATATATTTTAAAATAACCAAAAACGTAAGTATACAAAAGAATTCATTATTATTTAATTGCAATATTCAATATATAATATACTTTTGAACATATTACTTCAACTCCTCATTCTTTCTACAAAATCCATACTCATGGGAATATCATATGTATATATGTGTATATACGTGTGCATGTAGAATATATTCTTTTGCATCAGATTATGGTTCAAATCCTTGACGTCTCAAATAACTTGTCACACATGATTCGTCCAGTGTGATTGGTTTGTCGGGTCTAGTTTGCAGGGCAGTAGATTCGGTCGGAGGTTTACCTCGCACTTTTTCCACGTTATAAAATAATAATAATAATAATAATAAAATGCGTACCTGTTTGAATTTAATTATAGCTAGGATAAATCGTAGTACTATTATTGAATGAATTAGGAAATTGCAGTGAAAAATTAGGATGTCTTTAATTAGTTGTAATTAATTATGTGGTACAGTTGGAAGTTCAATTTTATATGAGATGTTCGATTGGTTATAATCTAATGAATTTATGCTGCAGGTTTCCATATTCACGTTAACGTGTTACTTGAAAGTGCTTTGCATATTGTTGATATTTTTTAAATTTAGGGATATGATTTAGATATTAGGTATTATATTCTAGAGATACGATTTGGATATTAAATATTATATTTTAGATTTAAATATATAATTTGGATATTATTGGCATAGACTTACGTTATAAATAGATATCTATTCCCATTCTAACTGCCATACGGCCAGGCCATGCGGCTAAACGGCTCAAATCCTGCAATAAAATCTGTTATCCGTTGCTGTCCGTGGAGGTAGCCAACTCATTTTTTACGAACCACTTCAATCTGTGTTTTCTTTACGTTTTCTTTTTGTTATTCGATCATCAACTTTAATGCGTCGTAACACAAATTTTATTATATTGCCGCAAAGACGTACTCCCTCCATCCCGGTCCAAAGGGCTCTTTGGGACTGCATAGTAAAAATAATAGTATTTTATTAATTAATGAAAGTACGTAAGAGGTTTTAACATTTTTGTCTTTGATAAAAAAAAAATATTTTTATCTGTTTTGGATATGCTTGTAATTTAAATAAAATTAACAGTATTTTGGTATTGATGTATAATTATTTTTACTAAAATATAAAATGAATACTTTAGAGTGGGACGATAAAAAATGTACTTTAAGTTGAGACGGATGAAATTTTTTTTTTTTTTTTCTTTCACAAATATTTTGCAACTACAATTATTTATCCTTAATTCCCCCAAACCTTTCTACATTCATTCTATCTTAAAATTTTATGACAAAATGTCTTCATAAAGTTGTTTGGTAATAAGCCTCAAGTGTAGCAAAGTTTTGGAAATTTCTAGAGTTCTATTTACAAATTTCGACACTATTCATTTTCTTTTTTCAGTAAAAATAAAAAATAAAAAATTAGTATTTAGTTTTATTATTTATATCCATCCGTAGTTCTCATTAATTTAAATTTAACCAAAACAGATTCCATAGCAAAAAATGCACCAATGTATATGTGTGTAGTTGTTGGGCTTTTTCGATCCAAGTCTCAACCCACAAGTAACCTCAAAATTCGACCCTAATTATTTGGTTGATAGTGTTGGAGAAAGTCTCTTAATTTATCTCATCTCATCTACAAACCTACTAAAACCAACCAACATTTTAAATCATCAACCACCCATATATATATATACACACACATAGGATAGGATGGATTCTGGACCGTACGTAGCATGGCCGCCATTAACGGTGGATCATCATCGTCATCGTCATCAGGAGGGCGCCGGGAGGGTGAGGTAATCGACGGCGGATCGGGCGAGGATGTTGGCGAACTCAGAAAAGCTGATGACTCCATCGCCGTTGGTGTCGGCCTCCTGCATCAGCTCCGTCAGCTCATTGTACGTCAGCGGCTGCTTCATCTGCGCCATCTTGGCCGCGAGCTCGACCAACGTTATGTACCCGTTGCCGTCGCGGTCGAACGACTGGAAGACCTGCATTAGGCGGTCCTGGTCCACCAGGAATTGCTGGTCCATGTCCGGCAGTAGCACCTCCACCAGTTCGTCGAATTCGATGGCCCCGTTGCCATTGGCGTCCATGTTGGCCAGCATTGTTGTGATCTGGTCTCCGGTGGGTCGCAGCCCCAGGGAACGTAGCAGGGCTGCGAGCTCCAGCTGGGTCAGGCTGCCGTCGTTGTCCATGTCGAACCGGTTGAAGATCTCCTTCAGCTGTTTCAGCTCGTCGGAACATATTGTAGCCATCAATCAATCGATAATTGAATTAATTGAGTATTGATGTAAATATTTCATATTCAAACAGACATGGAAGAACGAATTCTGTTGTCCGAATGCATATTTGTTTCTGCATCTCCTAATTTTGGATCATTTTTATTATGCCTTCCTTCCTTCCTTCCTCGTACACAACAAACCCATTGTGGGGCTCTGCTTTCTCTTCAGGAAATAGGAATGGGTGAATGGGAACCTTCCTTAGAATTAATTAATTAATTCCACTATATGTATATATATATATATAAACAATGTATACAACAGTAACAATGATTTATTGAATTCAGTGTGTATATATATAGAAGATTTCCCATCAATGAAGGGGTAACCTTGTGGGAAAGCAATCAAAAATTTGTTCTCATTTACAGGGAAAATTTGCCACAATCAGACATTCATATATATATGAACTATCAAGAAAACTACTTACAAAAACTTGAATTGTTGCTACCGATGGTATCTTGCCATTTGATGCCGTCGTCATTCTCCGTGGCTGTTTTCGGGTTTACTGTCGCTGCTCGAGCTATTATGGCTGAAAAAATCCGTGCTGTAATTCTGGCTGCCGAATGCCATCCTTCGAAAGAATCTGATTTCTTGAGATTGTTGTGCTGAGTTGAATATTTCGCTTTCTCCTACCTTCATTCCGTTTGTCAGATCCGAGACAGCCAAACTGTCCAGAGCCCTCACAACCTGGACAGAGTAGTCGATATGAGAAAGCACGCAGAATTTCGAGTCCATAATCAGATATTCTTACCTGTCCCATCTTAGGCCTCTTTGCGGACGAATGGCGCACACAAGCTGCTGCGGCTTCGATCAGTTGGAACATTTCAACTTCAGCATAGTGTCCTTCAAGCTTCGGATCTGCTAATGCTTCGAATTCCTCTGTTTCGAGCGCATGGCTCAACAATGGCCGAGCCTGCATACACAAGTAGCTAAATCATACAGCACAAACAGTAAAGATGTAATTAACACTTCACTATCACAAACCAAAATACACATCGCAAATATTTGTCATGGATAGTATAAAATGATCCGCTAAACTTTGTATATGCCTAAATATCTGATAAAAAAAGCCTAGTGCTTGATGAACATGAACCTACCCATTCGACTAAGCTTTCTTCCCCGAGAGGCTGAGATGTGTCCACAGGCTTGCGGCCGGTAATCAACTCCAACAGTACCACTCCAAAGGAAAACACATCAGACTTGTCAGTCAGCTTACCACTGGATGCATACTCGGGAGCCATATATCTGAACTCAAAATATAAGGTATCATCGACGCCTGCATTTAGCTATAGTGAACCTAAATATATATATATATATCAGCTATTGATGAATGCTTACCCAAACGTTCCCATCACACGTGTGGTAATGTGCGAGTTTGCATCCATAGCTAATTTAGCAAGTCCAAAATCGGAAACCTGAAAACATAGTTCTCGTGATCCACTCTCAATGAAAAGATGAAATATAGTTTGCAGAAAGTTCCGGATACCCTTGCATCAAAGTTGTAGTCTAGAAGAATGTTCGATGACTTGATATCTCTATGAATAATGCGAGGATTGCCTGAAAGATTTAAAGCATAAACATTAATAACTTTTAACATCGATATCAGAAAACTTTGAAGAGCTTACAGTCTTCATGGAGGTAAGCAATCCCACGTGCTGCACCAACAGCAATCTTTACGCGTGAGGTCCATTCCATAACCGGCCGACCTTCACCTGAAGACAAGTTGCAGAGATATCAAAATCCATCTTCTCAAAGGTCATTTCTTTCAACATTAACGGCTAATGTTTACCATGAAGATGGTAGTACAGGGTGTCATTAGGGAGGTAATCATACACAAGGAGCCTCCTTTCGTCTGAAATACAATAGCCAACAAGTGAAACCAAATGGCGATGGTGTATTCGACTTATAATCTCGACTTCAGATTTGAATTCCCGCTCCCCCTGTCCTCCCCCGATCTTTAACTGTTTAACTGCAATCTCCCTACCATCAGGAAGTGTCCCTTTGTACACAGAACCAAATCCACCTTCACCTAAGAGATTTTGAGCTGAAAATCCTTTAGTGGCATAATCTAACTCTTCGTAGGCGAACCATGACCTCGAATTGCCCAAACCGCCGTGTTCATGAGGCGAATGGTTAGTAACACTGCCGGAGCCACTTTGATAGTTTTGTCCTGATATTTGAACTTTCAGTAAACCAGAATCTGGATGCAAATTATGTCACTGCTTAAGTTGCCTTCCGATTCTAATGTTTTAACAGAGCTATGGCTAAATGGTTACCTGATTTTGGAGAAGAAGAGATGGAGGTTGGCATAATGTAACCGGCACTGTGGCCATGGCTAGAATCCCTTTTCTTGCGCTTCTTCAAACAGAAGGCTACAATTCCGAATATTCCGAGCAATAGGAGGCTTACTGCCACGACAATGGCCACCGTGCCTCCGGTCCCAATGCCGCCGCTGGTTGTGCTTGCTGATGTTTCTGGTGCATTGTTGCTGGAATTATTGTTGCCGGGTGGAGGTGTGACCGGAGAAGGAGGAGACGGAGGCGATGGTGGGTTGGAGGGAGAAGGCGGTGTCGGTGGTGTTGAAGGATTTGGAAATGGAGGAGGGGGGGCTGGATCTCTTGGTGGTTGGGAATTTGGGGGTGGAATCACTGATGGAGTTGGAGGTGAAGTTTCCGGTGGGATAGGGGTGGGTGGTGGGGATGTAATTGGGGGACTTAATGGCGGAGGTGCTGAAGTAGGAGGATCAGACGGCGGCGGGGGACTAGGTCGAGGTGGAGACTGAGGTGGTGGTGGTGATCTAGATGGGGGGCTGGGTTGAGGAGGCGGCGGTGGAACAGTTGGAGGATTTGGTGGAGGTGGGGATCGAGGCGGTGGGGCGGTGATGGGAGGAGGGGTCGCAGGCAGCGGTGGTGGCGGTGATCCAGGTTGGGGCGGAGGCTGCGGTGGCGGTGATCCAGGTTGAGGCGGAGGCTGCGGTGGCGGTGATCCAGGTTGGGGCGGTGGCTGAGGCGGCGGTGAGGTGGGTTGGGGCGGAGGCTGAGGCGGCGGTGAGCTAGGTTGAGGGGGGGTCGGAGGTGGTGATGATGGAGTAGATGGTTGAGGAGGTGGAACCGTAGGCGGTGGGGAAGCCATGGGAGGTTGCGGTGGAGGTGAACTAGGCGGCGTCTGCGGAGGAGGTGAATTGGGCAGAGGCGGCGGTGATGGTGCAGTCGAAGACGGAGGTTCAGGCGGCGGCGAATTGGGCGGGGGTGGAGGCGCACTAGGAATTCCCGGCGGAGGAGAATTGGGCAACGGTGGAGGCACACTAGGAATTTCCGTCGGAGGAGAATTGGGCAACGGTGGAGGCACACTAGGAATTTCCGGCGGAGGAGAAATCGGCGGAGGAACAACCGGCGAATTTGGGGATGGAGATGTCGATGACATCACACAATTCTCCCTCCCTCAGTCAATCGATATCCAACATTTCCTCCATAGAACTATCTATGGCCTTCAAACTTGTACCAAATCGATCAAATGAAATTTCGATTTCCTTGCAACAGTCAAAATCCAACTTCCTAATTCAGCAAAAATCAATCGACAAAACAAATGCCCAATCAGCAAAACCCTCGATCCAAAAATCACAGACAAAACATTCGATCACCGGATAACTGTAAAAATTTCTTCAGCTTCCGCAAATTGGGGAAAATAAATACCAGACTCGAATTAAGCACAATAGAGGGAAAAATAACTTCTCGCAACTGTGGAAGCTCCTATTCCGGAACACGGAAAATGGGGTCTGTAGAAAATCTCCAAAACTTCCGACAGCGACGAATAATCGAGTGGACAAAACCCTCCTTCAACACGTTTGAATATCAAAAGCTACCGGATTTGAATATCATTAACGTCGGCATCAGCGATGATCATTCCCTCCTCATCAGGATTATTGCTTCAGCTAAACTTCAAAAATCCAACAACTGTAATTTAATTTTATTTTATATAAATCATCGAAAAGTCTGATGCAATGCTACGCAACGTTGTCGCAAAGCATTTGTTGGCGGAGTGGGTCAGCAATCTATGCCCAGACCCTTCAGTTGGATAATCGGAGTGGGTTCACGCGTAATTCTTCGGAGCTCCCTGGACCAAAGGTCCTGCGCGTATCCAAACCGTTCGTCCACGCATAGATTCACGCTGGTGTTGGGAGTCCTGGTCCTGCTCGATGTCGTCTTCGGCGCACTGCGCTCGGTGCAGCCAATGGTTTTTCCTAAATTAGAAGAAGAGTACAAAAATAAAGAGGAATAAGACTCATTTCCATTTAAATAAATAATAGATAATATATTTGTTAATCTCTTATTGCCAAACTTGGATTAATATATTCCAAATATTCTTTTATTTCAACTATGCTTGCATCACAAAAAAATAAAAAATAAAAAATGAAAATGAAGGTCGATATTAATGATTATAAACAATCTAATCTAATTAAATGTGTTAATTTTGAATAATATTCAATTCCATACATCCAGCTGGGACATGTTTGAATTTTTCAAGAAATACATACATACATGTACTTTTGAATTTATAAGTACATACATACACACGCATGCTATCTAAATTATCACAAAAATGAAATATAAATAAATTGTATTAAAGCATAATATTCCCCATAAATCAGATCGTATCATTGAAATCAATTTAATTCAAATATTTCTTTTGGATTAGCCAATGGACTCTACAATAGAGATTCACCGCTCATTCATTATGTTATTAATGCGGTTTGACTTTGACCCGGAGGTCTCCGTCAATATCATGTCTTAAATGCATTAATTTCTTTGGACCCCCACATGATTTATTTTTATTTTTTCTCAAACGCATATTATTATTATTATTAAGATTACTGTTATTATTTAAAAGGTTGACATTATAATGTGACAGTTTGTCTCGAGTCTCGTCGTACGCATTGATATCAAGAAAATTATTTACACATAGTTGGAATCAGTCAGCACTTTTTTAATTTAATTTACATTTATACATTATATATGGATATAGGTCGGTTCATAAGTAACGTTATTTACAATTCATAAAGTGAATAATTTGAGTGATATATTTAGGACAACACACTGCCCTAAATTTATAGTGTTGCTACACATGTAACAACTAAATTTGTATGCTCTGGATGAGATGCCATGATTAAACTTGAGTCACGCTCCACTAACTTCATTTAAATATATATATATATATATATTATCTATTTTCATCCTTTACCCATTTTATTGAAATTTGTACATTTCATCATTACAAGTATTTTATGTGGTAGAGGATCACGCGGCTTATGCTTGGAAGATCCCGGACCTTTGATCTGCAGATAATTCAAACCGTTCGATTCGACGTTCTTACAATCAACGGTTATCATTACTTAGCTTGAAAGACTCGTTAACGTTGGAGCTGTTAAACAAATCTAACGAATTTCAATATCTGTTATTTAAGTTCAATTCGAGCATACTATCGGTATAAACTCATTTCGATTTGTCTAAGATTTGAACTAAAACGAATTTGCAAATTTCATACACATTATATTTTTTGTAAACCACCTATGTAATTATTTTTCTATTTAAAATCCTAAATTTCAATATTTCTATTTTTTTATTACAAATATTTTTTACTTTAATAAAACTAATATTTTTATATATTACAAATAATATGATTGAGAAGTAAATAAGTTTAAGGAGAAAATTATGTTTTTATACTATTACCTATAAAATATTAATATACTAAATTTACATAAATAAAATAAAATAAATAGTTTTATTTGCTCCAGACAAAAGAAGTATATAAATTAACAAATATTATTTTATTTAAAATTTATTGTAATAATATATTTAAATCTAATTAATAACTATAAGTTTTTTTATATAAAAATTAAATATATTACATTAACATATAAAATAATACAAAGATATGGTATGTTTCTTTTGCAAAATTTTTCAATATTTTACTATTTGAACTTTGAGTCTTCCGAAAAAAAAAATATATTTTTTCTTCTTATAAAATATCCTATTAAATATTATTTTTATATTAAACTCAAACCAAATTTTTTCCAAATTTATCAAAAGAAACACACTCATATCTACTAGCAAGCGAGCTTTCCGCAAGTTATGTTTCAGCTCGAATCATTTAGAAAAATAATAATATCACACTCGAATATTATTAAAATACTTATTCAAATTATCTAGCAAAATATTTCACAAAATATTGTATCAAATATTATTTTAATATTAAACTCAAATAAAAAAATTTTAAATCAAACCGAAAGAAATACATATTTTACATAAAATTTATAAGATTTTGGTACTTATATATTGATAGTAATTTTTTTTAATAAAAAAGCTATTTTTTATTTTTTTTTCAAATATGGGCCAGTTTTGAAACTATTTTGTTAGCCCAAGTGATTAATGTCAATAGATCCAATTTGCTCGTGGGCTTAATTTTTGATAATATAATTGGAAAACCGTATTTATAATACTATATACAAAAACGAGGAAGGGTCTATTTATTTCGTACTTTTTTTTTTTTTTTTGTACATATATAAGACCTATTTATTACTCCATATTTTATTCCTATCTCATGTGTCAAAAAATATATATATTTATGTATTTTCAAAATTATTTATTTTTATAAAATAAATTCACATTAATCATATGTAAGTATTATTTATTTATTTTATATTAAGTTTTCTTGAAAAATAAATTGTAAATTACTTAAATATATATATTATAAATCAACTATTTATTAAATCAATTTCTTTTCATGCAACTTCCAACTATAAAATCCAATCATCAAATCAAACGCGCTAATAATTTCTATAAGATGACATACGATCCCAATTTAGAAAATTATAGAGGGAATATATAAATGTCATTGTCATATTAAAATAATAATAATAATAATAATAATAATAATAATAATAATGCATATACTTTTAATTTAATTAATCTGCTTCTTAATGCAAATTTCAACATTCAACAATCAACATTGATTGCTTCAATATAATAGAAAGATTATAAAAAACAAAAGTAAATTTTGTATATTTTGAATGAAATACATATTTTTATAAATGAAATTGAATGTTTTAATATGACTTTTATATGTTTGTGTTTTTTTCTTCAGATTTATTCTATTAAATCAATTAAGTTTAAATATTATATTCAATGATTACTTTTTACTCATTATAATACAACTAAATAATTATTTTTTTTTATTTTAAAATAAAATTAAAATGACATGCTTAAAGCCCATACATCCCACTTGCTTATGTCTGGACCTGCGAGGTTCGAAAATGAATTGAAAAATAAAAAAATAAAAAAAGGTTGAAATGTGGGGTTTGTATCTTTTAATATGTTTTTATTTTGATATTTTAAAAATAAAATAAAGTAACTATTAGATATATATATATATATGATTATATTTTAAATACAAATTAAGTATTAATAACAAAGTATGTGAATAAAATTACAATTTAAATTTTGATAAATTTAAAGAGTAGTAAAAAATTTCTCATATGACTTTTAATGTGTAAAATTATGTTTTATGAGCATGTTTAATTATACATATACATGTCCAAATAATATTTAAGCACCAAATATATATATATAATTATTTATATAATTTTCTATTGGGTGAAGATTGACAAATGACAATTAGGGTTGTTTACTTGTATTGTTTAAATAAGTATATAAATAAAATAGTAGTTAAACGTGGTCTTAAATAAAAAAAAAGTAATTTTAGACTTTGATATTAAAAAAATAGAGAAATTAAATAGTAAAAAAAAAATGTTAAAATAATACTATAAGACACAAGGAAACAACCAATTAATTTCCCAGGCGAACAAGCTGATAAAATATGTTACTATTTGCTTAAACAAATTAAGCTGGCAGATAGGTTAATATATATATATATATATATATAGTTTTATATGTGTGTGGAGGCGGGATCTTAGAAAGATAAAAGAATTCTTTTCATTATATTCCAATTGACAATGACCCACGTGAATAATAACAATAACAATAATAATAATAATAATAATAATAATAATAATAAACAAAGCCTTGTGTAGTCAATAAAGACTGCAATATCTTTGGTCGGATTTACCTGGATACGCACGTTCGAGCAGCGACCAGGTTCTTACCTTATAAAATAATACTTCATTAGTCCTAAATAATGTGTTCTTATTTTTTATTTTTATTCATCTCATATAATTTATTTTTTTTTACAAAAATTTATAATTATACATTTTAATCATATTTTAAATTTTATAATTTTAATTAAATTATTTAATTATTTTAATCTTAATCTATAATTATTTTTATTATACAATAATTATTTTTACTAATACATTTTAAATTACTTACTAATTACATTTTACCTAAATTTCTGAGCTTACAGTAATATACCCATATTATATGGGATGGAAGGAATAATAATAATAATAATACTAATAAAATAAGAATATATATAGAATATACTTTAACTGCATTTTTATTGTAACTACTGCAAAAACGGAGGAATGGGTTGGAGATGGTCTAAATTGTATTGGAAGATTGAATTCTCACCTATATGATATATTTAACTTACATTAAAACTATTAACTGGCAGTGGTGACGTGGCGGAGGGGACGACGGTTGAACCCTTGGAGGTGGTGGCGGAGGAGAAAGTGGTAGCGGTTGCGCGACGACAATATATGGTGGTGAAGGTTTTGAAGTATCAAATTGGTACTAATTAAAAAAAAAATAATCTATAAAAGAGCCTAATCTTAATAATTTTGGAGTGGAATGAAATTATTACTACTTCCTCTAATAAAAAAAAAAATTACTACTTTCCTTTTCAAAAGGGACTACTTAACATAAATAAATATATTTGAAAAGGGACTACTTAACATAACTAAATATATTTATAAATATTTAAAAAATTATAAATTTATAATGCTAATTATGTATAAATATTTAATATATATTAATTATATTTTTATTGTCAATGAGATG